ATTGACCTTGAGTTTTGGAGTTGTAGTATACCTACATCCAGAGAGCACTGTGGACTAAAACAATGATGGATCTGGACCAAACTTGGCACAAATACTCAATATGCCCAGATGTGAACACTGGTGGAGTTTGGGGAAAATAGACCATGACATTTGGGAGTTGTAGTTGCTGGGATTTATAGTTCACCTACAATCAAAGAGCATTCCGAACTCCACCAATGATGTAATTGAACCATACTTGGCACCCAGAACTCCCATTACCAACAGAAAATACTAGAAGGGATTGGTGGGCARTGACCTTGTTTTTTTGGAGTTGTAGTTCACCTACATCCTGAGAGCACTGCAGACTCAAACAATGATGGATCTGGACCAAACTTGGTACGAATACTCAATATGCCCAGATGTGAACACTGGTGGAGTTTGGAGAAAACAGACCTTGACATTTGGGAGTTGTAATTGCTGGGATTTATAGTTAACCTACAATCAAAGAGCACTCTGAACCCAGCCGACAATGGATCTTCACCAAACTTGGCACACTACCTACATGGCCAACATTGAATACTGGTGGGGTTCGGGAAGACTGTTTTTAAATTCTGTGAGTTGTAGCTCACCACCTAAAAAAGGATGCAAAGGACAGAGAGATCTTCAGTCTTCTCTACCAAAGGGGTTCCTAAGACCATCAGAAATATGTTTTTTTCTGATGGTCTTTGGTGACCCCTCTGAACCCCCCCCCCCCCCCCAGGGGTCCCGACCCCCAGTTTGGGAAACGCTGCCATAAATCGAAAAGGACTTGAAGACACACAGCAAATGTAAGCAGGAAAAGCATCTTGTTCAATATTCATGAGATTGCAAGCCAGTTTTACAAAGTTGCAATTCTGGGGATTCATGTTTATGATTGTTAATGACCAAAGGTGACATGGAAATAAAATGTGTAGAACTAAATGGTTTGAGTATTGGACTTGGAATCGGAGAGACCAGGGTTGAATCCGTGCTCAGCCACTGAAACCTGTTTGGCCAAGTCACACTCTCTCAGCTGTTATACTTCATTTCTTAAGTCGCAAGCAGTAAGTGGTGCAAGGATCAAGGCAGCAGGGAGTGAGAGCCAAACCACCTGGCCAACATTGTGTGGTTTCAGCCAGAGTGGGGCAGCTGCAAGAGGAATAAAGGAGCCAAAGTACTACTCCTTGCTGTGGGTTGTTGGAGCTGGGTTATTGGAGGAGTATGGAGAAGAGCGGTACATTTGGAGGAGATGGAGGAGTTTGGTGGAAGGAGTTCTACAAAGCTTGTGTCTCAAAGAGAACATTTGGACTCTGTATGTATATATGTTCTTTTTATAAACTCTGCAAAAGCCAATGACTGAGTTTGTTTCTTGGTCAAACACAAAAGGCTTCCGTGTCTGCAGTGTCTACATTCATCTTCATTGCAACATCAGCCTCAAAATATGACAATAGCAATTAACAACACTTACTTACTTACTTAGACGATCCCTCATCGTCCGAATAGGATAGTCCTCCAGGGTCAGTGTGCGGTGGGTCCGTAGGTGACTGTGGAGCCCTATTCTTGATCTGCATGTTCTCCTGCATTGAGGGCATCGGTTTCCAGGTGGAAGGCGGTCCCAGTCAGGATTGGCTTGACGCGCCTTCCTCTTGGCACGTTTCTCTCTTTTGCCCTCTATTCGTGCCTCTTCAAATTCTACAGCACTGCTGGTCACAGCTGACCTCCAGCTGGAGCGCTCACAGGCCGGGGCTTCCCAGTTCTCAGTGTCTATGCCAGAGTTTTTAAGGTTGACTTTGAGCCCATCTTTAAATCTCTTTTCCTGTCCACCAACATTCTGTTTTCCGTTCTTGAGTTTGGAGTAGAGCAACTGTTTTGGGAGATGGTGGTCAGGCATCCAGACAACGTGGCCAGTCCAGCAGAGTTGATGGCAGAGGAACGTCGCTTCAATGCTGGTGGTCTTTGCTTCTTCCAGCACGCTGACATTTTTCCGCTTGTCTTTCCAAGAAATTTGCAGGATTTTCCAGAAGCAATGCTGATGGAATTGTTGTTGCATGGAGTTGCATGTGACGTCTGTAGACAGTCCATGTTTCGCAGGCATATAGCAGGGTTGGGAGGACAGTAGCTTTATAAACAAGCACCACCACCAACAACAACAACAACAAAAACAAAAACATAAATCACCTCTCAGTAAATCTTGTCAAGAAACCCCTAGGATTGGACCACTTTTACAGCCAGCATGGCGCAGGTATCCTTTGCCTTTCAACATCTCACTTTCCAACAACTCTCTTTTGAGGTTGGATCTACACTGCCATATAATCCAGTTCAGAAACTGAATTATATGGCTGTGTAGATGGAGCCTAAATAATAGCCAAGCAACCCCTGCTCTTTCGTGCACAAACTAGCTTTTTCCTCTCTTCTCAGTCGGCAATGCATGTTGTTCATTTTTTCCCAGTCGACTCTGCACCATCTAGTGTTCAGTCTTATATTTGTAATCTTAAGAAAAGCACTCCCACTTTTTCAACCAATTCCACTTTTTGACATATAGTTCTTTTGCATAAACAGGGGGTTGCTGTGTGATGGCTTGCATGCTGGGCTAGAACTCTTCTGGGAGACCAGGAATCAAAGCAGACAACGACAACAACAAACCTCCTGAGAACTGATCTTGCAAAGAACACCCCGTCCGAGATTTTTCTTAAGTCAGTAATTACTTGAAGTCACACAACATTGATATAATGTGATTCCTGTGCTTCTGGAGTGATACCAGCATTCTATATATGAATGTCAATGTATGTTTGTATGTATGTTGGTTTGTTTATATCGCAAAGGCTCTTCCACGGCTTGATGCATCTTGTCCAAACTTGGCACACACGCTCTTCATGACTTAACTTAAAGTAAATGTGGGGCTTCTACTACAAAATCCACCCCATTTTGGAGCAAGGGCCCCAAAAAGCTAAAAACGGCAGTATATAGATAGAAAGGATTAGCTACTGGCTTCTAGGCATGGATGGCTGCAATGCTCAGATGCAACCACAAGAGTATATTTAGATAGAAAGGATTAGCTACTTGCTTCTAAGCATGTATATGTGCAATTCTCAGATGCAAGCACAAGAGGGTAGTATATATAGCTAGAAAGGATGGCTTTAGGCATGTATGTGTGCAATGCTCAGGTGCAACCATAAGAGGGCAGTATATATAGATAGAAAGGATTAGCTACTCGCTTCTAGGCATGTATATGTGCAATGCTCAGATGCAACCACAAGAGGGCAGTATATATAGATAGAAAAGATGGCTTTAGGCATATATGTGTGCAATGCCCAGATGCAACCACAAGAGGGCAGTATATATAGATAGAAAGGATTAGCTACTGGCTTCTAGGCATGTATATGTGCAATTCTCAGATGCAACCARYAGAGGGCAGTATATATWGCTAGAAAGGATGGCTTTAGGCATGTATGTYTGCAATGCTCAMYTYCAACCACAAGAGGGCAYTATATATAGATAGAAAGSATTAGCTACTGGCTTCTAYGKATGTWTATGTGCAATMCRCAGATGCAACCARYAGAGGGCAGTATATATWGCTAGAAAGGATGGCTTTAGGCATGTATGTATGCAATGCTCAGATYCAACCACAAGAGGGCAATATATATAGATAGAAAGCATTAGCTACTGGCTTCTAAGAATGTTTATGTGCAATGCCCAGATGCAACCACAAGAGGGCAGTAGATAGATAGATAGATAGATAGATAGATAGATAGATAGATAGATAGATAGATAGATAGATAGATAGATAGATAGATAGGATTAGCTACTGGCTTCTAGGCATGTATATGTGCAATGCTCAGATGCAACCACAAGAGGGCAGAATATACAGATAGAAAGGATTAGCTACTGGCTTCTAGGAAAGTTTATGTGCAATGCCCAGATGCACCCACAAGAGGGCAGAATATATAGATAGAAAGGATTAGCTACTGGCTTCTAGGCAGTAACCACAAGAGGGCAGTATATACAGATATAAATTATAGCTTTCGGCATGTATGCCTGCAATGCTCAGATGCAATCACAAGAGAGCAGTATACATAGCCAGAAAGGATGGCTTTAGGCATGTATGTATGCAGTACTCACATGCAACCACAAAAGGGCAGTATATATAATAGAAAGGATTAGCTACTGGCTTCTAAGTATGTATGTATGTAGTGCTCAGATGCAACCATAAGAGGGCAGTATTATAGATAGAAAGGATTCACTGCCAAAAGACAAAATTGCTGCTTCGTGAGACATGCAACACAGCCCTGAAGGCCACACTTGGGCTATTCACCCCGTAAGGAAGGAGCTGCTGTGGCGCAGTGGGTTAAACCCTTGTGCCGGCTAAACTGCTGACCTGAAGGTTGGTGATTTGAATCTGCGAGATGGGTGAGCTCCCATCTGTCAGCCCCAGCTTCCCAGGCAGTGACATAAGAGAAGCTTCCTACAGAATGGAAAAAGTCTGAGGTCCTCTGGGCAACATTCCTGCAGACGGTCAATTCTCTCACACCAGAAGTGACTTGCAGTTTCTCAACTCGCTCCTGACATTTAAAAAACCATACGGAAGTAAGCAATTTAATAATGATGCATGTTTTGTAGTGGGGATGTGTATGCACCTGTGCCTTGTTCTGAGACTGAGAGAGTGTGACTGCTAAGAAAAGCCTGGATGATGAAAGAAAAAAGAGAGTGGGAAAAGTAGAAGGAACAAGAAGGGAAGAAAGAGGGAGGGATGGAGAGAGATGGGGAAGAGAGAGAAAAAGAAAGAGAAGGAAAAAAGGAAGGAAGGAAGGAAGGAAGGAAGGAAGGAAGGAAGGAAGGAAGGAAAAGTTATATGACCCAAAGCAAAAGAAGACAGAAAGAAATGAGAAAAGAGAGAGGGACAAAGTGTATCATGAAAAGGAAAGAAAACAACCACAAAGAAAATGCAAACCCAGGCAATGCCAAGTGGTATACATGCTAGTATGAGGGAAATAAAGACTAGTCAGTTTGTATTTAAATAAGAAAAAAACTTTATTTTTTCACTAACATTCAGAAGGGGCATGGAGGGTTTCCTAAAATGTTTATTTTGAAGGCACACACATTTGGCAGCAAGGTGCATAGCGGGAACATTGAGGCTCCTAGACCGCATGAACACAGACATTCGATCTGTCACCATCTTGGAGGCACCGTTCCAAGGCCAGAGCTGGCTTGCTCCTCCCAAAAAAGTAGGATTCACTTGTGGATGCAAAGCTCCAAGAGGACTAACAAAAGGCTCTGAAAAGGGCTCAGTTTCCTTGAGGTTTGAGGCAAGTAATCACATCAGCAAAGATGCACAAAAAAGAGTCACATTTTGAGGGAGAATGGTTGATGCCCCGTTCTGCATAGCCCTTCCTCGTTTTCAAAATCAACCCAAAAGAGAAACAACCTGTCCAAAATGTGTGCTGGTACGACTGTACTAGGAGCTGCAAATTTATTTGCTTTGTATTAAATGTTTGCTTGCAGTCAAAGGTTCCTGGGATTCTGCAGATAGGTGGCTACCTTTGGTTGCAGTCATAGGGCTAGTCACCTGTCCATCATCGTTAAGTTTTGGTCCCGCCCCTTGCTCAGGGCAATTGGGAAGGGAAGGAAGCCATTTTTAGTTAGTCTCAGCAAGGAAAGCTAATGTACAAGACGTGTGCAAGCTTCCCCTGTACAAAAGCTCCAACCCTTAAGAATTTCCAGGGGAGAACAGTCTTAAGAGTCTCCAAAGACTTTCCAGGGAAATAGCCCTAAAGACCAAAGAACTCCAGCTGGAGAACCTCTAAGCCTTTACTGGTAGGTCCACTCGGCATTCGAGAAGCAGTTCGACCCGGTAGCGGAGCCCACATCAGTAAGGGTTAAATTACAGTCAGCCTGGGAGAAGTTAAAAAGGGGATTTTCCTTTAAAGTAAAGAAGAAGTTATTGAAGACAGTTGCCTGTCCTTTGTAGGCAAGTTTAGGAAGCTACCAGTTGCCTAAAAGCCTGAAATCATTTGTTTAACTTTCTGAAGACAAGAGAAGTTTCTGTTTGATTGTTCATTAATAAAAGACTTTGTTATACTTCACAAGCCATCTAAAGGTCATTTGTGGTGGAAAACCTCTGAGAACTTCTCCTTGGGCCCCCTGGCTTCTCTCTGGGCAAAGATTGCAAGTCCTGTTCTAAAGGACATTCTTTACAGGCCCAGCGCGCGACATAATAAAAAGTGTTTCCCAAACTCTAGTGTTTGGATTTCAACTTCCAGAACTCCCGATTACAGATCCAACCTGACGACATTTCCAGAAGCTCAAGTTCCAAACATCTGGAGGACTAGAATTTAGGAACCACTAGTCTTAAGCAAGGTGAGATTTGTCACCTCCAGGTGATTCTGGACTGTACTTCCCAGCATTCTTCCCCATTTGCAATGCAATGGTTGCTGGGATTTGCAGTCCAACAAGAGGGCCATATGACTCCCACCCATGAGGTATGGAAATGGGAGAAAGGATGGGCACTCATTTCCCAGCTAGAGAATGGAGAGCTTCCATAATGGAGGTAGAAGGAGCTATGGCAAGCCCAGTGCCCTTGACTGTGAGCAAAATCCTCCGTAATTCCTCCCATTATTTATTTATTTTCCTCAAAATTAATATTGTGAACCTATCTACCCCATGCAACTCATAGAAAAAGGTGCAATTTTGGGATCGTGAACCAAGTATTACACCTAGCGCCGCATCTCCACTATAGAATGAATGCAGTCTGACAACATTGCAATTGGCATGGCCCAATGCTATGAGATTGTGGGAGTTGTAGTTTGGTGAGGCACCACCACTCTTGGGCAGAGAAGGCTAAAGACCTTGTAAAACTACAACTCCCAGGATTCCATAACATTGAGACAGAGCAGTGGAAATGGTGTCAAACCATTAATTCTACATTGTAGATGCACCCTTGGATTGCACACCACTCTCCTGCCCCATTTTCTCAAATATTGCTTTTCCATGAGACCTACCCAGACCTGAACGAAGGACCCAAGGCTTTGCTATAGTACCACAAAGGCTGGAAGTATTTGGAATTTGTAATCCCAAACACTTGGGAGGCCTGAGCTTTCAAAACTCAAGCCCTGAGCATGAAACATCAGGCAGCACCAAGGAAGCTCTTTTGGCTGCTCAGCACCTCAGGATAAAAACATGGATTTTGCAGAAGTTGCCAGGCATTGCAGCTGAATTGGCAGCCCATGAATTGGTCAAAGAGGGAATCAACTTTCAGCAAAGTGGCCAAAGCAACAAAAGGAAACAGAACATGGTTTTATGGAGCATTTGTCCTCAGAGTAGCAGTTCGTACCCAAAATTCAGTGTTTCTCAAAGGGAGATGGGGCTCAGATCTGTCCGGAAGTCACGTTTGCTGGATCAGAAATCTCCTTGGATACATTGTGATTATTGGTTGAACTCGGCTCATGCTCAGAGAGTCATTTTTCATCTTATTGAGGCATCAGAAGCAAGTTCTGGGATTGAGAAGAGCCTCAGGGGAGGTATGAAATGCAGGAAAGCAAGAAAAGTGACTCATCTTGGAGGGGAAAGAAGAGAAATAAATAAAGGGACTGACTGACTGATTGGATTACTGTAATGCACTCTACGTGGGGCTGCCCTTGAAAACGGCCTGGAAATTTCAATTGGTTCAATGGGTGGCGGCCAGGTTGTTAACTGGTGCTCCTTACAGGGAGCAGTCAATCCTTCTGTTTAAGGAGCTGGTGGCTGGAATGGGAATGGTAGTCCGATGCCAGGTATGGGAAGACCGTTCTGCCCAGTGACCCATATAGTTTGGAAACCCTTGCAGTTTGAAAACCTATCCAATTTGATGGGACTCCATGAGAGGAGAAGTTACCCTTGAAACTTGTGCAAAAACATGGAGGTAGCTGATCAAGGTCTTCCAATTTTGGGAGGCTTCAAGAGTTGGCAACCTCTCCCCTCTTGCTAACTGAGGAGAGAGAAAAGGACACAGACCTTGAGGGTCAAAGCCATGGGGAACAATCCGCAAAGCAGCCACTCTCTCGTAAAATGGCACCAAAGGACCCGTTTCCTGTGTCCCTATTTCCTGCAGCCCTTTGACGGCAGGGAAGTACCAACTGCTCCGGTTGCGACCCTTGAGCCCCCTTCTTCGTTATTGGCAGAAACAATCCCTTTACAAAAATATTAATATTATTAATTAATAACTGTCTTTGGTAGCAAAAAAGTTCCCTGCGTCGGCCGCAGTAGTGCAAATGCGGAGGAAGGAGCCAAGAGGAGGTCAGCCGGGATCCCCGCGTCCACCACTGTCATTTCTTAAAGGGGAAGGAAGACGTCTGGACTTTCAAGGCTGGGATGGGTCTGAAGGAGAGAGGAGGGTGAAGTCAGGAAAAGGCAGAAGAAAAATGTCAACATGAAAAAGCAAAATATTATTTATTTATTTATTTACTTTATTTGTATACCGCAGTTTCTCAGCCTGTAGGCGACTCAATGCGGTTAACAACAAGAGCAAAAATTCAATCCTAACAACATGCATAATTTAAAAACAATTAATACCGTAGTATACTAAGCAATTACACATCAATAAACAACACATTAACATCTCGTAACTAGAATCATGATCCAACTCACCATCCGTAATTCCGTTTTCCTATATTCATTGCACTGTTTATCCGAACGCCTGTTCAAATAGCCAGGTTTTCAGTTTTCTTCGAAACACCATTAACGAGGGGGCTGATCTAATGTCCATGGGAAGGGCGTTCCACAGCCGAGGGGCCACCACAGAGAAGGTCCTGTCCCTCGTCCCCGCCAGACGTGCCTGTGATGCAGGCGGGATCGAGAGCAGGGCCTCCCCAGAAGATGTTAAAGTCCTGGTGGGTTCATAGGCGGAGATACTTTCGCATAGGTAACTTGGGCCAGAACTGTTTAGGGCTTTATAGGCCAATGCCAGCACTTTGAATTGAGCCCGGTAGCAAATTGGTAGCCAATGGAGCTGGCGCAGCAGAGGAGTTGTATGCTCCCTGCGCTCCGCTCCTGTTAAAATCATGGCTGCCGAACGTTGAACCAATTGAAGCTTCCGGGCCGTCTTCAAAGGCAACCCCACGTAGAGAGCGTTGCAGTAGTCTAAACGGGATGTAACCAGAGCATGGACTACCGTGGCCAAGCCAGACTTCCCAAGGTACGGGCGCCTCAGGTACTAGACCATGGCTGGAAATCAGGTGGGCCATGGCATGGATCAGGCAAACGTTTTTTGCATTCATAGCCAGTGCCTTCCATAGCCAAAGCAGACCTTATTTTTGTTCCGGACTTTGAAAAAGCCATTCCTTATCTGAAATGTATGGGACCAAATGTCTTCCATATTTCACATTTTGGAATACTTGCAGATATTTTGAAGATGGGACCCAAGACACAAAATTCATGTATCCTGCCTGGACAACTTACATGGCCTGTTATACACAACAGAATTCATAATGTATTGTTGGAATACATGGCTGCAATCACTGGGTTGTTATAGTTTTTTCGGGCTATATGGTCATGTTCTAGAGGCATTCTCTCCTGACATTTTGCCTGCATCTATGGCAAGCATCCTCAGAGGTTGTGAGGTCTGTTGGAACCAGGAAAATGGGGTTTATGTATCTGTGGAATGTCCAGGGTGGGACAAAGAACTCTTGTCTGTTGGAGCTGGTGTGAATGTTTCAACTGGCTACCTTGATTAGCATTTGATGGCCTAGCAATTTTTAGGTGTGGCTTGTTAGTGCCTGGGGAAATCTTTTGTTGAGAGGTGGTATTTGTGGCACAAGTTCTAATGAATCACCTGAGCAATGGTGATTCATCTGCTTGTAGTCTTTATTATTTATTATAGTTTTTATTATATTTAGTCTTTATTTATTATAGTCTTTATTATTAGTTATTATTATCATCATCACCATCATTTCCTAATTGGTTCTATCAAAAACATGGGAAAGGTTTATTCAACTGCAAAAACTTTGTTTTTATGGGCATCTTGCAGCACATTTTACTACGGTTTTTGAATGAATGAACTGGGATTGCGGCACAGCTGGCTGAGTGTCAGCTGCATTAAGATCACTCTGACCAGAAGGTCATGAGTTCGAAGCCAGCCCAGGTCGGAGTGAGTGTCCGACCAATTGTATAGCTTGTTGTCGACCTTTGCAACCCGAAAGACAGTTGCATCTGTCAAGTAGGAAAATTAGGCACCACCTATATGTGGGGAGGCTAATTTAACTAATTTATGAGGCCATAAAAAGACTCTAGCAAAAAAAAGCACCCCAGCAAAGCATGCGGGGAATGCGGAAGTACTTCATCAGCATCGCAGATGGACAATGAAAGCGACAGCTCCCCTGGCAGCCAGAAAAAGTTAAATAGCCTCTGTGTATGTCTATATACGTTGTATGTCTAATTGGCATTGAATGTTTGCCATATATGTGTACATTGTAATCCGCCCTGAGTCCCCTGTGGGATGAGAAGGGCAGAATATAAATACTGTAAATTAAATAAATAAATAAAAATCTCACAGAGTCCCAGCCAATTCAACCTAGTTTCTAGCAGCCACAAAAACTAAGTTTCTGGAGTAGAAAAACTACTGTATATACTCGAGTATAAGCCTAGTTTTTCAGCCCCTTTTTTTAAGCTGAAAAAGCTGCCCTTGGCTTCTACTCGAGTCAAGGTTATTTATTCTTTTACTCTGTTATTACTATTATTTTTATTACATTTATTATTTTACTCTATTATTGGTATTATTACATTTACATTATTTTACTCTATTATTATTTTATTACATTTATTTTATTCTATTATTATTATTACATTTATTATTTTACTCTATTATTGGCATTATTACATTTGCATTATTTTACTCTATTATTATTTTATTACATTTATTATTTTACATTATTATTGTTATTTTATTATTGTTGTTATTACACTTATTATTTTACTTTATTATTATTGGAAGGATACATAAGCACATTAACACTGAAAAAGATTAGAATAATGGTTTAATCAAAGTTGGTCAGTCTTATTTTAAATTAGTTTTATGTAAACATTGAAAAAATACAGGGTTAGTCAAAATGAATAGGCCAATAAGAAAATTAATTTTAGACGAATGTATGTTTATTGTAACCAAACTACAGCTACGTAGCGACAGATAAACTATCAAAGTGTTGTCTCACCTTCAGAGATGTTCGATATGGGCGCCCCGTGTGACACGGCAGATGTCCAAGCGATAGTCCAGTTCATTCCACATCCGTTGCAGCACATCCGACGTAATGGCATCGAATGCAGCAACGTCTGGGAAGGTGTTCGTTGAGGTCCTAACCCTAACCCTAACCCTAACCCTAACCCTAACCCTATCCCTAACCCTAACCCTAACCCTAACCCTAACCCTAACCCTAACCCTATCCCTATCCCTATCCCTATCCCTAACCCTAATCCTAACCCTAACCCTAACCCTAACCCTAACCCTAACCCTAACCCTAACCCTAACCCTAACCCTAACCCTTGAAATTCTCGCTGGACCGTAATTACTGACATTGTTTTAGCAAATGTCATCACACAAAACGCCTTCTCTTTGCTTGATTCCGCCATTTTGAAAACAGCGACCCCTAGCGACGCCTAGCGGCATTAACGTACATGTGTGTTGCTCAAAAAAAACTTTGATAGTTTATCTGTCGCTACGTAGCTGTGGTTTGGTTACAGTAAACATACATTCGTCTAAAATTAATTTTCTTATTGGCCTATTCATTTTGACTAACCCTGTATTTAACCTACTGTTTCCTCAATTTATGTAATTTTATTGGTATCTATATTAATTTTGTATTACCAGTAGCTGCTGCATTTTCCACCCTCGACTTATACTCGAGTCAATAAGTTTTCCCATTTTTTGGTGGTAAAATTAGGTGCCTCGGTTTATATTTGGGTTGGCTTATACTTGAATATATACGGTACTTTCAAAGTAATTACCACACAATTAAACAGGAAATAACACTTTCAAACCAGGAACAGAACGTTTTTTCAATTTTGTACAAATGTTGTGAGGTTGTACCTCTGCACCCATCTACTGAAGTTGGGGCTGCCATGCCAACATTCATGCAGTAGCCCCATCCCCCAGAAAGTAACCAAGTTCAGGATTTCTCATATCTCTATTCCTCCTCTTCCTTTACCCAAGTGAAACAGTGGCATGCAGGAAAGTGCAAGAGCTGGCCCCTCTACAAGAGAACCAAGGACAAAGTGGCACTCACCTGTGAGGTGGCATTGGCCTGTTGAGGAAGAAGAAGAAAAACAGTGGCATGCAGGAAAGTGCAAGAGCTGGCCCCTCTACAAGAGAACCAAGGACAAAGTGGCACTCACCTGTGAGGTGGCATTGGCCTGTTGAGGAAGAAGAAGAAAAACAGATTGATTTCAGGTTTGCAAGCAGGTATTTGTTGCAGCAGTTCCCAAATACACAGGATAAATTTGCCCTGCATCCCTCGTCCTCCTATGGCAGGGGTCGGGAACCTTTGGCCCTCCAGGTGTGGTGGACTTCAACTCCCACAATTCCTTGAGGCTCGGCATTCGCCCCAAAGGCTTACCTTGGCCCAACGAGGTTTGTTTGGCTCTTTTTCATGGAGGACGGGCAGCAAAGGGGGAGAGACGAGCGTAACGTAGCTGTGCAGATGGCGAGGAAGGATGCGGAGCCCACAGACTGGCCTCGGAGGGAGAGAGCGGGCGGAAACCCCTGCGGGCAACGCGCTTCCTCGCCGCTTCGGCCCTTAGCACCCGCCCCGCATGGACCCCCTCCCTAGCAACGACGCCGGCTGAGTGACGTCGTGCAGAGCTTGTCGGGGAAAAGGGAAGGCGAAGGCTGGAGGGAAAGGGCTCTGCGCTGTTTAAGCGGCGAGGAGGCGCGTTGCCCGCAGGGGTTTCCGCCCGCTCTCTCCCTCCGAGGCCAGTCTGTGGGCTCCGCATCCTTCCTCGCCATCTGCACAGCTACGTTACGCTCGTCTCTCCCCCTTTGCTGCCCGTCCTCCATGAAAAAGAGCCAAACAAACCTCGTTGGGCCAAGGTAAGCCTTTGGGGCGAATGCCGAGCCTCAAGGAATTGTGGGAGTTGAAGTCCACCACACCTGGAGGGCCAAAGGTTCCCGACCCCTGTCCTATGGCCAATCTAAGCTTTGGAGATTTTGTGTATTTTATCCTCAAAATTTCATATTCTGGGTTGCATCCAGATATCAAAGACAAGCGGGGAAGTTTATGACATATATGAGATAGTAGTAATCTCTTGTGGCCACAACTGTAAGCACAGTGGTTTATTGACGCTTCTCTCAATATTTCGGTTTCTACGCAAATTTGAAAAATATTGATCTTATTGAATTGAATATTATTATTGAAAAATATTGATTGCCTGGCAGTGCTCCAGGCACTGCCAGGCAATCAAATGCTAATCAAGGTGATCAGTTGAGACATTCACACCTAGCTCCAACAGACAAGAGTCCTTTGTCCCACCCTGGTCATTCCACAGATATATTATTTATTTATTTATTTATTTATTTATTTATTTACTTTATTTGTATACCGCTCTCTCTCAGCCCGTAGGCGACTCATCGAGCAGTTTACAACCAAATCAGTATACAAAGTGCACAATGTTAGCATTTAAAACAGTAATCATGGCAACTACATCAATATAACAATACATCAACACATCAATATAACATCAATACATCCATATAACTAATCCATCAAGTCTCCTCAGTAAAGTCATAATCCGATCTCCTTGTCCATTATTCCATGTTCCAATAATTAATCAATTAATTGCACTGCTTAATTAAATGCCTGTTCAAAGATCCAGGTCTTCACTCTTCTCCTGAATGCCAGTAGGGAGGGGGCCGATCTAATGTCTGCGGGAAGGGCGTTCCACAGCCGAGGGGCCACCACTGAGAAGGCCCTGTCTCTCGTCCCCGCCAGCCGTGCTTGTGAGGCTGGCGGGATCGAGAGCAGGGCCTCCCCGGATGATCTTAATGTCCTAACTGGTTCATAGGGGGTGATGCGTTCGGACAGATAGGTCGGGCCAGAACCGTTTAGGGCTTTAAAGGCTAAAGCCAGCACTTTGAATTGTGCCCGGTAGCAGATTGGCAGCCAGTGGAGCTGGCGCAACAGAGGAGTGGTGTGCTCCCTGAGTGCCGCTCCTGTTAACAACCTGGCTGCCGATCGTTGGACCATTTGTAGCTTCCGAGCAGTCTTCAAGGGCAACCCCACGTAGAGAGTGTTGCAGTAGTCTATACGGGATGTAACCAGTGCGTGGACTACCGTGGCCAAGTCAGACTTCCCAAGGTAAACCCTTTTTCCTAGTTCCAACAGACCTCACTACCTCTGAGGATGCTTGCCATGGATGCAGGCAAAACGTCAGGAGAAAATGCCTTTAGAACATGGCCATATAGCCTGAAAAAACCTACAACAACCCAGTGATTCTGGCCATGAAAGCCTCCAACAATACATTAATATTGATCTTGTTTTACTTCTTGGCTCTAAATTTTTGCATATTTATAAATGACTATTTTTCTATTTCAGGATCGAAAGCACCAGCAAGAGGAGAAAGGACAACTATAACTTACAGGATTCCTATAGTGTTGAGCAGTGGTAGTTAGAGTGATATCAAATTGCATTCATTTTAAGCATAGACCAGGCATGGGCAAACTTGGGCCCTCCAAGTGTTTTGGACTTCAATTCCCATAATTCCTAACAGCCTCACAATAGGAATTGTGAGAGTTGCAGTCCAAAACACCTGGAGGGCCCAAGTTTACACATGTGGATGCATCCTAAGGTTTATTTGAGGTCCTTGAGAGCAGTAGAAGATTCTAGGAATGGAACCACCAAATTGCATCCTTTCGCAGGCTTGTCCAGCCACTTCTTTGCTCCATCATCCACCAAGTTTGCAAAGACTTACTTGAGGGGTCTTGAGAGGTGGGTTGATGAATTGGTGACATTTGACGTTTTGGGGTGTCTGGGGGGCACCATGACCAGCAAGGTTTGGCCCTGAGAAGATGGCAGCTCTTTGGCCAAAAGTGGATTCCCCGGAAGTGGCCGGCGGGGCGGTCGGAGCTTTGGCTCAACCTGGGATGAAAGGAGACTGGATTGAAAGAGCATCACAGCACCATGCATCTACAGCAGGCACTAGCAAACTTCGACCCTCCAGGTGTTTTGGGCTTCAACTCCCACAATTCCTAACAGCTGGTAGGGTGTTAGGAATTATGGGAGTTGAAGTCCAAAACACCCAGAGGGCCAAAGTTTGCCAGTGCGTGTTCTATAGTCAGTTTTTTGCAAGAAGCTGACCACAGCATCACATTGGAGGAATGATTGTATTTCCATCTACCTTGAATTACATCGCTGCCGAATGCTCATATCTCTCGGTGTGTTGTGTTCACATCCCATAATAATCAGTGGGATGAGCATTACCATGCTAAAATTGCCTCCTTGGGTGTGCTTTTGCTCATTAATTGATCTCTTGGTTACTATAGTTCAAAATCGACCAGCAAATTAGATGCACTCTCATTATTTTGCTCTCCGTTCCTACCTCCTGCCTGTTTCTACACTTTTTTGCTTGTCATCAAAACACAATCCAGAATTACAAGAGCCATCTAAAATTTGATAGACTTGGACTTGCAGTAATCCTATCCTAGGGTTTTCCTGACACAAAAATCAGGTTTTAAGGGCATCTTTTTAACACATGTTTTTCAGCTGTTAATTTGAAATAGCGCACATTTTCGTGAAACGTCCTTTTATCACTACCACCACCCTTTTATCCCGGTTTCCTCCATGCTTTAGGGCATGTGTAGAAGAGCACGAATACTCTTTTAAATGTTTAGTTTTCAAGCCAGGTTTCACCCATCCTATATCTCTCCATTTCATTTTCATTGCCCAAAGTCACCCAGTTGGCTTCCAACCCAGGTCTCCAAGTATTGTGAGTCCAATACTCACTTCACTACACAACTCCAGCTCTCCAAGTTTGAAGCAAGCAACTTTTCTGGTGGATCCTGTAAACTTAAGTCATGTAGCACTACAACCCCCATTATTCCAAAGCAGTTGAAGGTAACTAAAAAAGCATTAATTCTGCAGAGAAAATCCACCACCTTTGTAATAAGAAATTCCATGCGCAAATTTGATAAATGTGAATTTAATAATTACATGTGGGAATGAATGGAAGAATGGAAGGATGTATGAATGGAGCTAAACATTTTGTAAACACCAGTATAATATGAAGGCCTGCAATGACTAGCTACTTGCTTGCTGCTTTGTGATTAAAACCTGTTAATGAGTTTTGAAGAGTAAACTCTGATAAGAATTGGGACAGTGATAACAGAAATGTTTGCAACATTCCTTATGTTAAGAAGGAAGTCAACATAAGATCAACACCAATCAAGAAGATCAACATCTGGCCAGGAAACTGAGATGGAGCAAAGATGGAAGACGTCTATCATTAATTTACAACTTTGGGACTAGTTGTAACAGAATTAACAGAATTAAAAGACTCAGTCTAATAATGCTCAAATTGTGACCGACCTGAGGAGTCTGGTTCACCCGCTATGCTCTGCTCCATGGGAAGGAGTGAGATTGTTGTAGTTCAGCGTGCTGATAACGTTACTACTACTGGTAGAAGGGAGAAGAGGTCTGCACAGGAGTTGGAGGAGGAACAACAGCGAAAGCGCATTAGGGAGATAGTTATGGCCCCAAGTGATTCTGAGACGTTTGAGGGCTTCTCCGATTGCGAGATGGGGGATGGGGAGGAGATCAGGGGAGTAAAGAGGGTTACTCGCGATCCAGAGTCCGATGAGGAGATTCAGAGGAAGCGCATCCACGAAATACTTACTGCTCCGACAGAGGACGAGGATTTCATGGGGTTTGAAAAGAGTGATGGGTCTGGGAGTGATATGGGAGAGGAGGATGGGCTGGATTGGACCCGTGTTCAAAAGATTAGAGACATTTGTAACCAACCCACTTCCAGTGATGAATTTGAGGGGTTCACAGGGGATTGGCAACCAGGGAGCTCTTGGCAAGATCTAAGTCTTAGCAGACGCTGGCAGAGGTGGAGAGATGGGCACTCGGGTTCAGCTGCGGGGATGGAGGCAGATGAGAGCAATGAGGAAAGCGAGGGGAGCTCATCATCCTCTAATGAGGAACTGTAAGATAAAAGTGGGTTTTGATTGTATGGCTCTTTGCAGAAGGCAAAGTGTCTTTATGGGACATAAATTTTTGTTATTGCCAACTCTTGAGCTTGGGTCCTTGGACTACAGATTCCTGTGTTCCTGTGGTTCCTGCGTTTCAGTGTTTACATTACTTGGCTTGACACGGACCGGTTTGACCAACGTTTTTGGGCTTTTGGACTTTAAACATTGCTAACTTCATATGTGAACTTTGCATCATCTTGAGACTCCGTTTTCCTTTTTCTGCATTTTTGAACTGTATGAATTTTGAAGCAGATTGCTGAACTTCGTGTTTCATCCAGATTAAACAGCATTATAATCCCGGTTATATTTTTGTTGCTGGTATCGCTTTGTTTTTGATACCTAATTGCTGCTTTGACTCTCTGCACTGAAGTTAAGTGCTTTGAAAGACTATTTTTGCATAATAAAGCTGTGTTTGAACTCTTTATCTTGTGTTTGGCTGTACTTAAGGCTTCTGGGTCACGACAGAGATAGTGTACCTATGGATAGTGACAGATTTGCACAGGAGCAGTCTGATCACTTTGGGGCTTCTTTCTCAAGTAAAGAGGAAGAAGTGCGCTTTTGGAGTCTTAGATTTTGTGCAGGGAGTCAGGTTCTGCTGTATGGAAAACAGAGATCTGGTCCTTGGCATTGTTCTTAGGGAAAGAAGTTTTGGCATTTCAGTGTTTTGAAGTTATGGAGTTATGGAACTATGCGTTGGCAGTCTGCAGGAAAGCAGGGTCTGGCCTAACAGATGCTTCTCCAAGGAGGGAGAAAAGGATATGGTAATATTTTGGATGCATGGGGATGAATGTGTGTATATATGGTGTGAATGTTGAGTGAAAATGTAATTCCCCTTTGTTTGTTAACCAATGTAATTGTACATCCAATGTAGTTGCATAGCATCTGTATGTCCAATGTCATTCTTTGTCTAAATGTTTTTCTGTAATGTGATATACCTTCTCACACTGGAAATTGCAATAAAAAGAACCTATGATTTTCAAGTCATTGAAAAGTCATTCATGACACCTTGATCCAAGGAGTGGCTGGCACAACTCACCAAAGCAGTCCGGACGGGGCTGCTGGGAAGAGGCTTCTTTGGCGGGGGCTGTTTTGTTTGGGCTCCAAATGTTGCCGCAGCAGGAAAGGCAGGGGATTTGTTGAGAGGCAGTGGCGGGGGCCGGCAAGGCTTGAGGTCTTTTTGTGGAGCAGCCACTGGGCTTGGAACCGGACGGAGAGGGCGGACCACGTTGACTGGATGGGAAGTGCTTTGGAGCAGGTTTGCTCTCAGTGGAGGAACACCCCGGCTCACCTGCCAAGAGAACAGAAAAATGAAAGGGGATTCCAGCACATTCTGTGCACCTGTTGTGGCTCAGTATGATGAGAATGATGGGATTCAGATTCCTGGCTGTTTTTCTGTGCCTCAGCTCGAGGCTCTCACAGACGGGAGATTCAAGTAAGCGGTTCTCACGAAGGAAGCGAAACTGTCAGTTCAACATAGCTTAGCCTGAAAGCTTCATGGAATAATCTTAGCCTGGAAAGCAGTACCCTTGGGATTCTTACATGGTGATCCTTGGGGCAAATGTTTCATTGCTTGTACCTGGGACTCTGGTTTGACCTTTGCCAATAGGATTGTGTCTCCTGCTTTTACCTGAAGATCTTTGTAACTATATTCTGCATTTAACCTTAATCTTTGGAACTTTGCAATGCTTATTCTTTATTTTGACTTGGATTTTTTCCTCAGTAAACTGTAAAACTACAGCCCTTGTGTGGTGGTGTTTGGAAGCAAGGTGAAGCCTACTCTGAGTTGCAACAGCTCCCTTTCACATGGACTGTTAAGCCATCTTATATCTCTGCATTTCATTATTTTATTTTGCTGGACACAGTATAGTTTGACCAATGCAGAAGACAGTGGTAACATTACTTCCTTTGGTCTTGACACGACGGCCCTATTGATGTGGCCTAGGATCACATTGGCTTTTTTTTCTGCTGCTGCAGCAGCACACCATTGGTTCATGTTCTGATTGTAGTTTCCTCGTTCCCTCTCACTTGGACTGCTTTCATCCATCCGATATCTGTGCATTTCATTTTTATTTAGTACAGTACCTTTCTCCCTGTTGGAGTTTATTTTGTTAGTTATGGCCCAGCTAGTTGTCATTTTGGATTCTGATCCTGTCCTCTGTGGAATTAGCTCTCCCACCCAATTGGAAACCAAGACAGGCTACATACACAGCAAACAGCCAAATTCCAACCAACTATTTCTTTGCCACAGTGGTTGCATTTGCTTACATTTTAGGAGTCTGCTTACCTGGCTAGGGTTTCTGCCAACAGCTTTACTGGAGGGAGAGGAAATGTCCTGTAGCACAAAGGCAGAGTTAGCGTGTCCCTGGTTTGCCTTCTGAGGTGTCACTCCATTCCTCCTGGAAAATACAAAAAGGGGAAGTGTAGTAAGTGAAGTAAAGTTAAACAATGGTAGCTGCTCAGGCAGACTCTATTGCTGTGCATCTCCACTATATTTGTCCGTTATGCTGGGGAAAATGCATATGCTCAATTGGAGCATCAATGCCAATTTTTAATGGAATAATATTAAAGACTATGGTGTTATTTTGGATCCAGTTTGTCAACTGCTGAAGGTTGAGATAGTTGAGAGATCACTGCCAGGACTCTGGTTGAGAACCATTTGTACTTGGGCTATCGTGGTCCATGCCATCTCAATGACGTCATTTAATTATTATTATTATTATTATAATAATTATTATTATTAATTTCAAAAATCTTTATTTGTACCCCGCTACCATATCCCCATGGGACTCGGTGCGGCTTACATGAGGCCAAGCCCAAAATATATCAAACAACATCAATAACACAATATTAATAAACAATCAATAAAATACAAATCAGATAAATCAGATAACAAAACATCTATCAATAGTGACATATAAACAGTTTTAAAATGGCTGGGCCAAATGTAATAAATTAAAATTGAAAATATGCTGATGTGAACAAGGTAAAAATATAACTGGATAGGATTTTTCAGAGAGAAACGAGGAAATAACAATCCATCCTAAGTCAGTATTAAAGTGCATTATGAGAGCATATTGCTGAGAGTTCTCCTATTCTGGGAAGGCACACTGGAACAACCACGTTTTCAGGCTCCTCCTAAAGACTGCCAACGTTGGAGCATGTCTAATGTCCCTGGGAAGTGAGTTCCAGAGTCGAGGGGCCACTACCGAGAAGGCCCTCTCCCTCGTCCCTACTAATCGAACCTGAGAGGGAGGTGGGAGCGTGAGCAGGGCCTCTCCAGATGATCGAAGAGATCATGTGGGTTCGTACACAGAAGTGCGGTCACGTAGGTAGGTGGGTCCCAAACCATTCAGGGCTTTGTAGGTCAGAACCTGCACCTTGAATTGGGACCAGAAAATGAAAGGCAGCCAGTGGAGCTCCTTAAACAGGAGGGTTGATTGCTCCCTGTAAGAAGCACCGGTTAGTAGCCTGGCCACCGTCTGTTGAACCAATTGAAATTTCCGGGCTGTTTTCAAGGGCAGCCCCACGTAGAGTGCATTACAGTAGTCCAATCTGGAGGACACTAAGGCATGGACCACCCTGGCCAGATCTGCCTTCACGAGGTACGGTCGCAGCTGGCGCCCGAGTCTTAATTGTGCGAGGGCCCTCCCGGCCACCACCGACACCGGAGCTTCAAGCGTGTGACTTCAGGGGGAGTGTAACCCCGTCCAGCACAGGTTGCCACCCTATACCCTGATCTGGTTTACGATTGACCAGGAGGACCTCTGTCTTGTCGGGATTAATCTTCAGCTTGTTCCTCCTCATCCAGACAGCCACAGCGGCCAGGCACTCGTCCAGCACCCGAGGGGCTTCCTTGGAGTTAGGTGGAAAAGAGTAGTAGAGTTGCGTGTCATCTGTGTGGAGTCCCACAGGGTTCAATTCTGTCCCCGATGTTATTTAACATCTACATGAAGCCGCTGGGAGAGATCATTCGGAGTTTCGGACTAAGATGTTATCTCTATGCAGATGATGTCCAAATCTGTCACTCCTTTCCACCTGTCACCAAGGAGGCTGTCCAGACCTTGAACCGGTGTTAGCCTGTGTTAGACGGAGTTACACTCCCCCTGAAGACGCAGGTTCGCAGCTTGGGAGTGATCCTGGACTCATCGCTGAGCCTGGAACCCCAGGTCTCAGCGGTGGCCGGGAGAGCTTTCGCACAATTAAAACTTGTGCGCCAGCTGCGCCCGTACCTTGGGAAATCTGATCTGGCCACGGTGGTCCACGCTCTTGTCACATCCCGGTTGGATTACTGCAACGCACTCTACGTGGGGTTGCCTTTGAAGACTGCTCGGAAACTTCAACTAGTCCAGCGAGAAGCAGCCAGATTGCTCACCGGAGCGGCGTACAGGGAGCACACCACCCCCCTGTTGCGTCAGCTCCACTGGCTGCCGATCCAATTCCGAGCACAATTCAAAGTGCTGGTTTTGACCTACAAAACCCTAAACGGTTCCGGCCCAGTGTATCTATCCGAACGGATCTCCCTCTACGTCCCACCTCAGAACCTAAGATCCTCTGGGGAGGCCCTGCTCTCGACCCCGCCTCTATCACAAGTGAGGTTGGCGGGGACGAGGAGCAGGGCCTTCTCAGTGGTGGCCCCCCACCTGTGGAACTCACTCCCCGGGGAGATTAGATCGGCGACCTCCCTTCTGGCATTCAGGAAAAAACTGAAGACCTGGGTTTGGGACCAAGCCTTTGGACACACTGGCAACTAAATTAAGGATCTGACAATAGACAAGGACAAATGGAATGGAATGGATATATGGACTCTGAACCCGAGCATGAGATTGTCTTAATATTTTATTATGCACTGATGTTTTAATTCTAACTGTTGAATTGCTTTTTTGTATTTTGTATTACTGTCAATTGTTTTAGGCATTTAATTGTGCCTCCTCTGTAAGCCGCCCTGAGTCCCCCCCGGGGTGAGAAGGGCGGGGTATAAGTAAATGAAATAAATAAAATAAATAAATAAATAAGTGTCATCTGCATAGAGATGGCAGCGAACTCCAAAACTCTCCCAGCGGTTTCATGTAGATGTTGAAAAGCATGGGGGACAGGATGGAATCTTGCGGGACCCCACAAGTCAAAGGCCAGGGGTCCGAGCAGGTGTCACCCAGCTTCACCATCTGGGAACGACCCTCCAAGAAGGACCGGAGCCACGACAAAGCCGTGCCACCAAGACCCATCCCGGAGAGTCGTCCCAGAAGGATACCATGATCGATGGTATCGAAAGCCGCTGAGATATCCAAGAGAACCAGCAGGGTCACACTCCCCCTGTCCAGCTCCCTGTGGAGGTCATCCACCAAGGCGACCAAAGCCGTCTCAGTACCATGACCAGGCCTGAAGCCAGACTGTGACTGGTCCAGATAGTCGATGTCATCCAGGAAACCCTGGAGCTGAGAGGCGACCACCTTCCCACCTCTCTTCCAACAGGGAACCATGGCTGTTCACAATCTGAATTAAAGCAGACTAGGCCTGTTTGATCAAGAAAAAATTTGTTTCTAAAATCGATTTGTAATTGGGGTGTTTTTTTGTTTCGATATTTAAAATAATTACAAAACTTTCCCAAAAAAAGTTTTGGTATTTACGAAATTTCGTAAATATTAACGAATTCTTAGAATATTTTTTTGTATTTTTTAAGAATAATATTAAAATAATATTAAAAAATATTTTAAAATGGAAAATTAACCAAAAAATGGCCCAAATGTGGACCAAACACAGGCAGGAGACAGAAAATGAGAGCACACACCAACAGAAGAGTCTTTTCTTTTTTAGAATATTTTTAAAAAATAATATTAAAATAATATTAAAAATAATATTAAAAAATAATATTAAAAAATATTTAAAAATGGAAAATTAACCAAAAAATGGCCCAAATGTGGACCAAACACAGGCAGGAGACAGCAAATGAGAGCACACACCAACAGAAGAGTGTTTTCTTTTTTAGAATATTTTTTAAGAATAATATTAAAATAATATAAAAATAATATAAAAAATAATATTAAAAATATTTTAAAATGGAAAATTAACCAAAAAATGGCCCAAATGTGGACCAAACACAGGCAAGAGACAGCAAATGAAGCAAGCAGCACTCACAGCAGCAAGGAATGAATCCAATCCCAGTTGCTAGCAGCCATTGCCAAGCCAACCCAATGCAAACTCCCTCGCCCTCTGCAGCAAGCTACGGCCGCGCGGAGCCGCTTTGAAAGGGCTCGCCGGCCAATCAAAAACAGACAGCCACGGACCCATGGTGCACTGCTTGGGAGCGCCGGATTGGCTCCCAGGCACCAGCACTCCAGCAGCCTCCATCCCATTAACGAAACGAGCGGAGGCTCGTTAAAACTATGGGGGTTGCTGGTTCGATATTTAAAAACCCTTCCGGGTTTGGAAATATGTTTCAATATCGCTTCGGAAATGCCAAAAATAACGAATTAATAACGAATTAACGAATTAACGAACGAAACCGCACAGGCCTACTCAAGACTGTGGAGTCAAGGGAGGCTTTTTTCAGTAGAGGGAAGAAAGGGGAACCTCTGCATTTGTGATGGCTTTGGAGCCGATTTGGACAATTTTTCGGTGAAAAGACCAGGGTTCAAATCCTTGCTTGGCCATGAAAATCTACTCAGTGACAGTAAGCAAGTCACAACCCCGTAAAACCCTGTGATGGGAGTCTCCTTAGTGTTGTTATAAGACAGAAATGACTTCAAGGCACACGCAACAACAAAAGGCATCTAATGACTTCATGGGACACACTTCAAGGTCCATGGACTCCTCTCTGCCATCTACCCATGAGCTAGAACAGGCATGGGCAAACTTTCGCCCTTCAGGTAGTTTGGACTTTAACTCCCACAATTCCTAACAGCCGGTAGGATTTATTTATTTATTTACAGTATTTATATTCCGCCCTGAGTCTGAGTCTGACTCTGAGTCTGAAGCTGAGCCCTGTGGGTCTTGTGAGCCAGAGTTCCCTGATGAGGAGGATGATGGGTTACAGATTTCTGTTCATGTCTCAGACAGGGTTGGAGGTGAGGCTGCAGAAGGGGAAACAGCAAGTCAGTTCTCAGGGGAAAAGAATGTCAGTGAGACTGATAACGAGAGTGAATTCCCACACGGCCAGGTGGAGATGTCTTCGCCTCCTTTGCCTTCCCACGGTGATCCAGCCCAGCTGGTAAACCAAGATAAGGGGTTAGAGAGCCTTGAAGATAATGAATTAATGAGCAGGCAGGATCGCCTGCAATTAAGGGTCCGGAGAAGTTCTCACTTAGCTAGTAAACGAGAAGCCAAGTCTGCCAAAGGTCATCGCAATGTGTTCATGACTGCAAAGGGTATTTAGCCTTCTGGCTGACAAACAGGTTGTCAGTTCAACGTGGCTCTTTCCATGCAAACTTCTATGGATTAACCTTGGCTTTAAGCAGCACGCTTTTGGCTTCCTGATTCTGGGATTTTGGGTCTTGTGTTCAACTGTTTTACCATGGACTCTTGTTTGACCATTACTTAAAGGATTATGCTTCATGTTTTTGCCATTGGATCTTAGGAACTGTGTCTTTGCATTTAAACCTGTGTCCTGCCTATGGAACTCTTGCATTTGCTATACTCTGTTTTGATTTTGCCTTTTACTCAATAAACTACAAAAACTACAGCTTTGGTGTGATGATGTTTGGGAGCAAGGTGAAAACTACCCTGAGTTGCAACATATTTAACATTCCAGCATCTGGCCACCAAGGGAGCTGTCGCTTCACCATCCATTTGTGACACTGATGAAGTACTTCCTCATTCTTTGCATACTTGCTGGAGATTTTTATGGCTTTGTGAATCAGTTAAATTAGCCTCCCCGCATAAGTGGTACCTAAATTTCCTACTTGACAGATGCAACTGTCTTTCGGGCTGCAAAGGTCGGCAACAAGCTACACAATTTTGGTCGGAAGCTCACTCCTACCTGGACTGGCTTCGAATTTATGACCTTTTGGTCAGTAGTGAAGTTTGGAATTGTGAGAGTTGAAGTCCAAAACACCTGGGGGGCTGAAGTTTGTCCATGCATGAGCTAGAAGCTCTGGAAAAGAAGGCAATGTGGAAAGTACTCAGCATTGCTTCCTGCTTCACGCCACTCACCTGTACGTCTCCTGGCCCTTCCTAAAGCCTTTGACCCACTTGTTGAGGAAGGAGCTCTCCCGTCTGTAGTAAACATAGAGTCCAGCAGCTATAAGAAGCGTGGCAAATAAGAAAACCACCACGAGTGTGACCAGAACAGTTTCGTGATCTGTGGAAAGATGAGCAAGAAAGGGGAGAATGATACCCAAAGCAGATACGACTTAGGAAGAGTGAATTCAAGCGAGGATCTTATGAATAGAATCATAGAATTGTAAGAGACCCAAAGGCCATCTAATTCTTCTGCCAGACAGGAAGACACCATACAAACCCTCCCAGCAGATGGCCATCCAGTCCTGTCCATAAAAGGAGACTCCACCAGGCTCCCAGGCAGCCAACTGGGATCCAAACTGTTGCATTTTCTTTCTGGGGAGAATCTTAGTCTGTTGCACAGCCAAATACATTATAAAAGCTATACAACTGAGAGATCTCTTCATTTCACAAAACGGGGTTGCTTGTCATGGCGATGAACTTATCCAAATTCTCTGACTGATTCTTTTACACTCGACACTTTCTTCCTCCTGCTTTTATCTTGCAATTTAATCCCATTTTACCAAACTTCTTAATTTAATCTTTATTGTGTTTCATTTTGTTTTATGTGTTTGAGGATGTTTGAGGATGTGTTGTATTATTTTTGTCCTTTGTTGTTGATTGATATGGTCAGTGGACTAATCAATAAACTGATCTATCTATCTAAAAATTCTAATGTTGAAGTGGAATTTCAACCTGCAGTTTGAATCCACTGCTAGAATTTGGAGCAGCAGAGAAATAGCCTTCCCCCTCCTCACTGACATCCTTTCAAATGTATAAACATGGCTCTCATGGCCGCACCCCTTAACCTTTTCTTCTCCAAGTGATAGTGCCTGAAGGACATACTTTCCCCTTGCTTCATGCAAGTCTTTGGGGAGCAGAGGACTCACTGTCGTATTGCACGGGGCCGCTGTCCACGCTGCCTCCCAGCCCAGGCTTCTCGCACAACGGAGGGGCCCATCCAGCATCGCAATGGCAATTCCGGTTGCTGTTGCAAACCTACAAGCATCACAAAATCCTAGAGTTGGAAAAGGCCCATCCAACGGCCATGCAGTCCAACCTTCTTATGCCAGGCAGGAAAATACAATCAAAACTTTCCTGACAGATGGCCATCCAGCCTCTGTTAAAAACCCTCCAGAGAAGGAGACTCCACTGGATTCCAAGGCAGCAGCACCCAGATCGTACCAAAATCAATAAATTTGGTCCCCAACCCTGCCCACAACCTCTACATCAGTGCTTCTCAACCTGGGGGTCGGGACCCATGGGGGAGTCGCAAGGGGGTGTCAAAGGGGTCGGCAAAGACTATCAGAAAACACAGTATTTTCTGTTGGTCATGGGGGTTCTGTGTGGGAAATTTGGCCCAATTCTATCGGTGGGATTCAGAATACTCTTTGATCGTAGGTGAACTATTGTTGTTGTTCATTCGTTCAGTCGTCTCCGACTCTTCGTGACCTCATGGACCAGCCCACGCCAGAGCTCCCTGTCGGCCGTTACCACCCCCAGCTCCCTCAAGGTCAGTCCAGTCATTTCAAGGATGCCATCCATCCATCTTGCCCTTGGTCGGCCTGTTAACTATAGGTAAAGGTAACTATAAAGGTGAACTATAGGTAAAGGTAAAGGTAGTCCCCTGACATTAAGTCCAGTCATGTCTGACTCTTGGGTGTGGTGCTCATCTCCATTTCTAAGCCGAAGAGCCAGTGTTGTCCGTAGACACCTCCAAGGTCATGTGGCCGGCATGACTGCTTGAGCGCCGTTACCTTCCCGCCGGAGCGGTACCTATTGATCTACTCACATTTGCATGTTTTCGAACTGCTAGGTTGGCAGAAGCTAGGGCTGACAGCGGAAGCTCACGCCGCTCCCCGGATGAACCTGCGACCTTTCAATCAACAAGCTCAGCAGCTCAGTGCTTTAACACACTGCGCCACCGGGGGCCCATGGTGATATAATCCCAGCAAATACAAGTTTGGTGGGCATTGACCTTGAGTTTGGGAGTTGTAGTTCTCCTACATCCAGAGAGCCCTGTGGACTCAAACAATGATGGATTTAGACCAAACTTGGCAAGAATACTCAATATGCCCAAATGTGAACACTGGTGGAGTTTGGGGAAAAGAGACTTGACATTTGGAAGTTGTAGTTGTAGAATTCTCTTTGATTGTAGGTGAACTATAAATCCCAGCAACTACAACTCCCAAATGTCAAGGTCTATTTTCCCCAAACTCCACTAGTGTTCACATTTGGGCATATTGAGTAATCATGCCAAGTTTGGTCCAGATCCATCATTGTTTGAGTCCACAGTGCTCTCTGGATGTAGGTGAACTACAACTCCAAAACTCAAGGTCAATGCCCACCAAACCCTTCCAGTATTTTCTGTTGGTCATGGGAGTTCTGTGTGCCAAGTTTGGTTCAATTCCACATTGGTGGAGTTAAGAATGCTCTTGGATTGTAGATGAACTATAAATCCCAGCAACTACAACTCCCAAATGACAAAATCAATCCCCCCCAACCACACCAATATTTAAATTTGGCCATATCGGGTATTTGTGCCAAATTAGGTCCAGTGAATGAAACTACATCTGGCACATCAGATATTTGCATTACGATTCATAACAGGAGCAAAATTACAGTTGTGAAGTAGCAACAAAAATAATTTTACGGTTGGGGTCACCACAACATAAGGAACTGTATTAAGGGGTCACCGCATTAGAAAGGTTGAAAACCACTGCCTACATGAACTCAACTTAAGCACAAATATATACTGTAATTCCAGAAACGGCTGATTACTCACTCCATGTCCATGGCATTTGGAGGTGCATTTGTCCAGTTCGAAAAATGAGGCATTCAAACATTGCTGGTCTTTGCATACCTGAAATCGAAACCACATTGAAGTCAATTAGGATCATATTGTCTCAACACTGTTGAGAAATCAAAACTGTGTGAGCTAATTTGATCCACATCAAGCAAGGATTGATAACAAAGCCTAATACAAACATAATATTTTTCTTGGTGCCTTGGTTTTTAGGCCTGTTCCTGGGGTTATTTGGGATCCCAATTCAGAAAATTGCATTGGATAGGCCACATCAGCTATAGATTCTTTGAAATTGTTGTCTTCATTTTCTATCCGCGAGCAGATAGCGTATGTGGCGCATCTGGCTGAGTGTCAGCTGCATTAAGATCACTCTGACCAAAAGGTCATGAGTTCGAAGCCAGCCCGGGTTGGAGTGGGTTTCCAACCAATTGTGTGCAGTCTGTTGTCGACCTTTGCAACCCAAAAGACAGTTGCATCTGTCAAGTAGGAAAATAAGGTACCACCTTAAAGTGTGGGGAGGCTAAATTAACTGATTTATGAGGCCATAAAAAAAGACTCCAGCAAGCACTCCAGCGAGGAAGCATGCGGGGAATGCGGAAATGCTTCATCAGCGTCGCAGATGGATGATGAAAGCGACAGCTCCCCTGTGAAACTGTGACTGGTATCACCACAGTCCATGATTGGGTTCTAGGTTCAATGGCACCATTCTAGGCTGAAATAGCAGTCTGTCTCGACTCTAGAACAGGGCTTCCTAAACTTCATCAACTTGCAACCCCCCACCCCACCCTGAGAAAGAGATATAGTATTACAAAATAGGAATAGAATCCTAGAGTTGGAAGAGACCTCCTGGGCCATCCAGTCCAACCCCCTGCCAAGAAGCAGGAGAATCTCATTCAAAGCACCCCTGACAGATGGCCATCCAGCCTTTGTTTGAAAGCCTCCAAAGAAGGTGCCTCCACCACACCCTGGGGCAGAGAGTTCCACTGCTGAACAGCTCTCACAGTTAGGAAGTTCTTCCTAATGTCCAGGTGGAATCTCCTTTCCTGTCGTTTGAAGCCATTGTTCCATTGCGTCCTGGTATCCAGGGCAACAGAAACAAGTTTGCTCCCTCCTCCCTATAACTTCCTCTCACATATACATGGCTATCACGTCTCCTCTCAGCCTTCTCTTCTTCAGGCTAAACATGCCCAGTTCTTTAAGCCACTCCTCATAGGGCTTGTTCTCCAGACCCTTGATCATTTGAGTCACCCTTCTCTGGACACATTCCAGCTTGTCAACATCTCCTTTCAATTGTGGTGCCCAGAACTCGACACAGTGTGATGCCAGGTATGGTCTAACCAAGGCAGAATAGAGCATGGGGAGCATGACTTCTCTGGATCTAGACACTAGACTCCTATTGATGCAGGCCAAAATCCCGTTGGCTTTTTTTTTTTTTTGCTGCCACATCACATTGTTGGCTCATGTTTAACATGTTGTCCACAAGGACTCCAAGATCTTTCTTAACTATGAGTTATTTGTATGTCTGATGTTTGCAATCTGGGGACTATTTATTTATTTACTTTACTTGTATACCGCAGTTTCTCAGCCCAACAGGCGACTCAACGCGGTTTACAACAAGGATAAAAATCAGACAAAGATATACAATTTAAAACCCTAATAGCATGGTATACAATATTAATATAACAATAAACAACACAATACATCTCATAACTAAAGTCGTGATCCAGTTCGTCGTCCGTTTAGACTACCTGTCTATATACAAGGGTGCAATAAAATGATATCCCTTATATAAAATGGCAAAATCATTTGGGGTCCTGATCCTAATTTAAGGAGCTTGCTCTAGAAAAGCAACTTGGGAATGCCTTGGCAGAACACTCACCATTCCATCTCCACACTTGGTCCCCGTCATCACCAAACCCGGGTCAGACATGTCCCCCTCGTCATCGTTGGTGGCGTAAACCAAGGTCCCCCGGCACTTGATCTCCCGCCCGTTGAAGCGGATGGTGGTGTCCATGGAAATGGTGTTGGTGCCTTTGGGTTTGGCAGCCGAGCTTTGGCACTGGATCTTCCCACACTTGGCATCTCTAGAAAATTCCATACAAAACAGAGCTAGAACAGCCAATGCCCTCCAACATCTTGCCCAACGGGCTGAATCCTTTACACACCCAGATTGAGTGTTATGAGTTGGACATCAATAGGCCACAAGCCTTGTGGAGAAATGCTTATGGAAAATATGATCCAAAACCATGCCAGGCACTAGTCATTGGTCATTTAGACAAGGAATGCAAAGAACATTAGAAAATATTTGGAAAAAATGGAAAACATATTTTTAGTATCTCATAACCTGAATGAGAAGAATCTGCAATTGTGCAAGAATGTTCATTATTCGGGATTTCTTTCATGCAAAGTCGACATAAAAGTTGATTTACACAGAAAACATTGTGTTTCATGGCTGGAATCACTGGGTTGCTGTGAGTTTTTTGGGCTGTATGACCATGTTCCAGTAGCATTCTCTCCTGACATTTTGCCTAGATCTGTGGCTAGTAGCATCTCCAAAGGTCTGTTGTAGGTGAGGCAAGTGGAGTGCATATATATACGTATGAATAATGTCCAGGGTGGAAGAAAGAGCTCTTGTCTGTTTCAAGCAAGTGTGAACACTGCAAATGGCAAGTTGGAATAGCCATGAAGCTGCATAGAGGTAGCCTGGACTCTGTTGCCTGGAGGCATCCTGTTTTGAAGGGGTTAACTGGCACTTGATTGCTTGTTGTCTGGAGTTCCCATGTTTCTGAGTGGTGTTTCTTATTTACTGTCTTGATTCTAGTGTTTTTTAATACTAGTAGCAGCCTTGAGTCGCCTTCAGGCTGAGAAAGGCGGGATAGAAGTACCATAAATAAGTAAAAAATAAATACATTTTGTTCATTTTCATGGTTTCCTGCTTTCTCTTGAAATTGTCCACATGCTTGTAGATTTCAATAGTGTATCTGTGTAGTTACTAGTATTACAAAACTCCAGAATCTATACAGTAAACAAAGAAAATCAGGAACAGGAGAACTCCAGAAAGCTAACAATCAATTGCAAGTGAACACCTCCCAAACAGAGGATGCCTCCAGGCAACAAAGTTCAGGCTACCTCTATCCAGACACCCTCACTGATTGGCTTTGCAAACTTCATGGCTACTCAATGCTATTCAAGCTTGTTACAAACAGACAAGGGTTCTTTCTTCCACCCTGGACATTACACACACACACACTCACACACACACACCACTTGCCTCACTTCCAACAGAACCACTGAGGATGCCATTAGCCACAGATGCAGGAGAAACATCAGGAGAGAGTGCTGCTGGAACATGGCCAGACAGCCCAAAAAACTCACAGCAACACTTAAAACGTTATTTTTGGCACAATTCCCATCATCTGCAAATTGTCGTGCTGAGTGGACAATTCTCCAAATTCATTCAGTCTGAGTACAGGGATACTACACCTATATGTTCACCTAGGCTTCAAGAGAAAATTAAATCACAGACAGAATTTGGTTGGCTATAACACCACAAAAAAGAGCATTTCACCTTCATTTTCAGCAAACATTTTCCCCCCAAAACTAATGTACACACATGAAATGAAACAACCAAGTCAAGTAAACCTTATAGCAGTGAACATATAGGTCTTGTTAATGCAATTGTCTCTGTATCTGGATGTGAATGTCTTTCACACAAAATGCATTGGACTATTAACTATGGCAAATACTTGGTTTTTGGTGTCTTCCTCCTCGTCCCACTCACACCAGATCTAGACTCCTCAGAAAATACTTTCAAACTGAATGCTGAGAGAATGCTCTTGCAACAGGGGAGATTCCTCATTCTCCCCCCCCCCCCCCCCCCCCTTTATTACTCACTTCAAGGCACACTTGACATACTGGCCATGTTTGTCCTTGCCACAGTTGCCATACATATCGCCAGCCCTGTTGACGTCCTGGAAACATGCATCTGGAGCCGGAGAGGCACCTACAGGGCAAAGGACAGCAAAGAATCATAGAATCATAGAATCAAAGAGTTGGAAGAGACCTCATGGGCCATCCAGTCCAACCCCCTGCCAAGAAGCAGGAATATTGCATTCAAATCACCCCTGACAGATGGCCATCCAGCCTCTGTTTAAAAGCTTCCAAAGAAGGAGCCTCCACCACTCCAGGGCAGAGAGTTCCACTGCTGAACGGCTCTCATAGTCAGGAAGTTCTTCCTCATGTTCAGATGGAATCTCCTTTCTTGTAGTTTGAAGCCATTGTTTTGCGTCCTAGTCTCCAGGGAAGCAGAAAACAAGCTTGCTCCCTCCTCCCTGTGGCTTCCTCTCACATATTTATACATGGCTATCATATCTCCTCTCAGCCTTCTCTTCTTCAGGCTAAACATGCCCAGCTCCTTAAGCCGCTCCTCATAGGGCTTGTTCTCCAGACCCTTGATCATTTTAGTCGCCCTCCTCTGGACACATTCCAGCTTGTCAATATCTCTCTTGAATTGTGGTGCCCAGAATTGGACACAATATTCCAGGTGTGGTCTAACCAAAGCGGAATAGAGCATGGGGAGCATCACTTCCCTGGATCTAGACACTATGCTCCTATTGATGCAGGCCAAAATCCCATTGGCTTTTTTTTTGCCGCCACATCACATTGTGCTCATGTTTAACTTGTTGTCCACGAGGACTCCAAGATCTTTTTCACACGTACTGCTCTCGAGCCAGGCATTGTCCCACATTCTGTATCTTTGCATTTCGTTTTTTCTGCCTGCCAAAGTGGAGTATCTTGCATTTGTCACTGTTGAATTCATTTTGTTAGTTTTGGCCATTCATCTCTCTAATCTGTCAAGATCGTTTTGAATCCTGCTCCTGTCCTCTGGACTATTGGCTCCCCCTCCCAATTTGGTGTCGTCTGCAAACTTGATGATCCTGCCTTCTAGCCCTTCATCTAAGTCATTAATAAAGATGTTGAACAGGACCGGGCCCAGGACGGAACCCTGCGGCACTCCACTTGTCACTTCTTTCCAGGATGAAGAGGAAGCATTGGTGAGCACCCTCTGGATTCGTCCATTTAACCAATCACATTTAAAATCTATGGTTGGGCCAAATGTAATTGAAGTTTAAAAAATAATGCTAGGCATGAACAAGATAAAGGAGGTGGGGCGTTGATGGAGACATACAAGCAGTCCTAAATCGATATAAAGTGCTTTTGGAGGACATAATGCTAAGGGTTCATTATTCTGGGAAGGCACACTGGAACAACCACGTTTTCAAGCTCCTCCTGAAGACTGCCAGAGATGGGGCATGCCTGATGTCCTTAGGAAGTGAGTTCCAGAGTCGAGGGGCCACCACCGAGAAGGCCCTCTCTCTCGTCCCCACCAAACGCGCTTGCGATGCAGGTGGGAGCGCAAGTAGGCCCTCTCCAGATGATCGAAGAAATGTGGTCACGCAGGTAGGCAGGTCCCAAACTGTTCAGGGCTTTGTAGGTAAGAACCTGCACCTTGAATTGTAGGTAAGAACCTGCACCTTGGGACTTTGGGACTACATCAACAGAATATTCCTATAAAAGACTCAGTCAATGCTCAAAGTGTGGCAGACCTGAGGAGTCTGTTCCACCCGCTATGCTCTGCTCCATGGGAAAGAGAGAGATAGTGTACCTATGGATAGTGGCAGATTTGCACGGAAACAGTCTGGTCACTTTGGGGCTTCTTTCTCAAGGGAAGAGGAAGACGTGCACTTTTGGAGTCTTAGATTTTGTGCAGGGAGTCAGGTATAGTTCCATAACTCCATAACTGTATTGAAAACAAGAGATCTGGTCCTTGGCATTGTTCTTAGGGAAAGAAGTTTTGGTATTTCAGTGTTTTAAAGTTATGGAGTTATGGAACTATACATTGGCAGGATGGAGGAAAGCAGGGTCTGTCCTAAGAGGTGCTTCTCCAAGGAGGGAGAAAATGATATGGTAATATTTGGATGCATGTGGATGAATATATGTACATGTGTGTGAATGTTGAGTGAAAATGTAATTCCCCTGTATTTGTTTGTTAACCAATGTAATTGTAAATCCAATGTAGTTGCATAGAATCTGTGTGTCTGTATGTCCAATGTCAATTATTTGTCTAATGTGGGGTTGCCTCTGAAGACTGCCCAGAAGCTGCAATTAGTTCAACGAGTGGCAGCCAGATTACTAACAGGAGCGGGGTACAGGGAGCATACTACTCCTCTGCTGCGTCAGCTCCACTGGCTACCAATTAGCTTCCGAGCACAATTCAAAGTGCTGGTTTTGACCTATAAATCCCTAAATGACTCTGGCCCAGTTTACCTGTCTGAACGGATTCTCCCCTATGAATCATCAAGGTTGTTAAGATCTTCTGGAGGGGCCCTGCTCTCAGTCCCACCACCCTCGCAATCGCGACTGGTGGGGACGAGGGACAGGGCCTTCTTGGTGGTGGCCCCTCGGCTCTGGAACTCTCTCCCACTGGAGATCAGATCTGCCCCTTCTCTCCTGACTTTTAGAAAACTGGTGAAAACCTGGCTCTGGAATTTAGCATTTGATGAGTGAGTCAATAACTCCTGACCACACGGATGGATGGCGATGAATTGTGACTTCATTTTGACGACTTGGCATTATGTAATTATATGATCGTATTTTAATGCTTTAGTGAATTATGGGATGTGATGTTTTAAACTATTGTTTATGAATCTTTTGTTGTGAACCTGACTGAGTCTCTCTGCAGAGGTCAAGAAGACCGGTATATAAAAGTTCTAAATAAATAAATAAATAAATTTTGTAATCTGATATACCCTCTCACACTGGAAATTGCAATAAAAAGAACCTATGCTTCAAAGTTATTGAAAAGTCATTCATGACATAATATTAATGTACCTTGGCACCACCGGCTCCCATTCTTCTTCAAACAAGGCACCCAGATCTGAATGCCACCTTCCAGGTGAACCCTGACTAGTGCAGAATATAATGAGGTAGTTACTTCCTTCACCATGGAAACTATACTTCTCTTAATGCAGGCTAAATATGCCTTTTGAGCCGTCAGTGTAGACAATGTTGATCTGGTTGGAAAAATGCTCCAACATCCACTTCTCCTAAGAGAACTTCTTCCCTTGGAGCCCAGTGCCAGATTGTTTCTCTGGTATCTATGTGCCAATAAGTCCAATTAGAAGTTTGGTGCCAACTTTGATGGCCCTATAATAGGACCTGGCTGTTATCTCCCCAAAGAGATCCAGAACCTTGGATAGCTCCCTTAAAGGATAGGCTTTGAGTCTTGTTTAAGGAGGAAGAGGTAAAAGTAAAGGTTTTTCCCTGGCATTAAGCCTTTTTGTGTCCAACTCTGGGAGGTGGTGCTCACCTCCATTTCTAAGTCAAAGAGCCAGCATTGTCCGTAGACACCTCCAAGGTCATGTGGCCAGCACTGCTACCTTCCCAATGGAGCATACCTATTCATCTACTCATATTTGTATGTTTTCAAACTACTAGGTTGGCAGAAACTGGGGCTAACAGAGGGAGCTCACTCCACTACCCAGATTCGAACCACCAAACTTTCAGTCAGCAAGTTCAGCACCTCAGTGGTTCAACCTGCTGCACCACCGAAGAAAGTAGGGTATTAACAATAACAACAACAAAATAGGCAATGGATTCATGGCCTCCACAGCTGGCGTCATGATTGCCATTTGCATGGGAAAAGTTTCTCCAAGAATCAAGGCACCAGCAGCCAAAAAAGGAGTGTAAGTGCCAAGGACCAATAGCTGTGGGAAGATATCCTTCTGTATCTCACTGGATTCCAACTCTCAGACTGATGGGAGTTGCAGTGCAGCATAGTAATTGTGCATTCTCTCAGCTCCTTGATGGATTTAATATGATAGGTCTTATGCAGAGAACACAGGAGAGAAGGTGGAGAAAAAACATGTGACAGAGGGAGAGGATGGCCTCACCTGAGCCCCACAGCTGGACGCATTGCTGATGATGGGTCATGCACATGCCGTTGTTGCAATATGCCTCCCCATAGGAGCAGGATGAGCCGTCCAAGAGATAGACATTGGTGGGGCAATACGGAGAAGCCCCAGTACAGTACTCTGGGAGGTCGCAGGATCCGGCTGGATCTCGGCACATGGTCCCAGCTGTCTTTAGCTAACAACATCCCCAGAAAGAGAGAAAAAAAGACACAGGGGTCAATTTCATGGGGTCTAAACCAGGCATGGGCAAACCACCCCTCCAGGTGTTTTGGACTTCAACTCCCACAATTCCTAAAAGCCTACCGGCTGAAGTCCAAAACACATAGAGGGCCGAAGTTTTCTCATGCTTGATCCAGAAGAAAAAAGAACAATATGGAGCAGAGTTAGAATCATAGAATCATAGATTTGGAAGAGACCTCATGGGCCATCCAGTTCAACCCCATTCTGCCAAGAAGCAGGAATATTGCATTCAAAGCACCCCTGACAGATGGCCATCCAGCCTCTGTTTCAAAGCTTCCAAAGAAGGAGCCTCCACCAGACTCCGGGGCAGAGAGTTCCACTGCTGAACGGCTGTAGGGCAACCTTGATGGAAGTACAGTAGAGTCTCAGTTATCCAACATAAACGGGCTGGCAGAATGTCGGATAAGTGAAAATGTTGGATAACTGGGACTCTACTGTAATAGCTAAAGAGTTAAGCCACCTCTTCCAGGTTCCTGCTTCTGCTGTTGCTACTGTTTGGCCGCCCTCTCTCCCTCACTCATTTGCTCACTCACTCACACGCCTTCCCTTGCTCGCTACTCACTGGGATGGGTGCCATTGGCAGAACCAGGACTCAGCCCAGTGAGTAGCAAGTGTGAGAGGATGGGTGAATGAACGAGGGAGGGACGGTGGCAAAAGCAGGAGAAGCAGGAGCCTTTCCACCTCCTCCAGGCTCCTACTTCTGCCACCACTGCTACCTTTGTCCCCTGCTCTTCTTCACTCATTCACTCACCCACCCTCCCACACTTGCTACTCACTGGGCCAGGTCCCCACGGTAGAACCAGGACTCGGCCCGGTGAGTGGCGAGCAAGCATGAGGAAGGGAGGGAGGGTGGCAAAGGTTGAAGCAGTGGCAGAAGCAGGAGCCTGGAAGAGGCAGCCAGGCTCCTGCTTCTGCCTCCACTGCTGCACTTGCTGCTCTCCCTCGCTCGCTCACTCACAGAGCTGAGTCCCAGTGGCAGAACCAGAACTCGACAGGATGAGTAGCAAGCAAGCAAGAAGGGTGGCAAGGGCAGCAGCGACTGCAGAAGCAGGAGCCTGGTCGCTTCTTCCAAGCTCCTGCTTTTGCCACCACTACCACCTTCCAAGCTCCTTCGCTCACTCACCCACCGAGCCGGGTCCCAGTGGCAGAACCAGAACTTGGCCTGATGAGTAGCAAGCGAGGAGGGGGTGAGCGAGCAAGCAAAAAGGGTGGCAAAGGCGGCAGCTGCTGCAGAAGGAGCCTGGCTGCCTCTTCCAGGCTCCTGCTTTTGCCGCCACTGCCACCTTTGCCGCTCTCCCTCGTTCGCTCACTCACCGAGCCAGGTCCCAGTAGCAGAACCAGAACTTGGCCTGATGAGTAACAAGTGAGGAGGGGTGAGCAAGCAAGCAAGAAGGGTGGCAAGGGCAACTGCGGCTGACAGAAGGAGGAGCCTGGCTGCCTCTTCCAGGCTCCTGCTTTTGCCACCACTGCCACCTTTGCCGCTCTCTCTCGCTCGCTCACCGAGCCAGGTCCCAGTGGCAGAACCAGAACTTGGCCTGATGAGTAGCAAGCGAGGAGGGGGTGAGCAAGCAAGCAAGAAGGGTGGCAAGGGTGGCAGCGACTGCAGAAACAGGAGCCAGGCTGCCTCTTCCAGGCTCCTGCTTTTGCCGCCACTGCCAACTTTGCCGTTCTCCCTCGTTTGCTCACTCACCAAGCCAGGTCCCAGTAGCAGAACCAGAACTTGGCCTGATGAGTAGCAAGCGAGGAGGGGATGAGCAAGCAAGCAAGAAGGGTGGCAAGTGTGGCAGCGACTGCAGAAACAGGAGCCTGGCTGCCTCTTCCAAGCTCCTGCTTCTTCCGCCACTGCCACCCTGCCTTGCTCGCTTGATCACTCACTGGGCCTGGTCCCGGTGGCAGAACCAAAACTCAGCCCAATGAGTGAGTGAGGAAATGACGGAGGAAAAGTCAGCTGCTGCTGTCTCCACCTTTGCCTGTTGAGACAAGCGGGGTAGGAAGCTGGGGCCTGGAGGAGGCAGGAAGGGGAGGCTAGGTTCCTGCTTCTGCCACCGCGGCCAACTTTGCTGCCCTCCTTGCTTGCGCAGAACCAGAACCCAGCCAAGAGGATGGGTGAGTGAAAGAGGGTGGCAAAGGTGGCAGCCACCGCCTTTGCCACCAGGGATGTCGGATAATACGGAGTGTCAGATAAGTGGAGGTCGGACAACCAAGGCTCTACTGTAGCATTACTGTTTTCGTGCAAAACTACAATGCAACCCCCATATCTGCAACATTGGCTTCAGGAAGGACATTTGAGGTTACCTTGCAGCTCTTGCAACATTCCCCGTGGGCACACTCTGCTCCGGCTTTCAGGGTGCAGTTGTGTGAGTGGCAGCAAGGATTGGTGCACTCCTGAAAAGGGAACAAAGATGGGGTGGGAGAGAGGAAGAGGATTTATTTTGGAATATTTATATTGTGTTCCAATAATATAGTGGTTCACCCCCCAAAAAATAACAAAACAGTTCCAATGTATCCTTCCTAGGGATAGATTTGTCTTACTTCCTGTTGTTTCACCGTTGACTCTTAACTATGAGTCGTTTGTAAGTCGAATCATAGAATCATTGAATCCTTAAGTTGGAAGAGACCTCATGGTCCATCCAGTCCAACCCCATTCTGCCAAGAAGCAGGAAAATCACATGCAAAGCACCCCTGATGGATGGCCATCCAGCCCCTGTTTAAAAGCTTCCAAAGAAGGAGCCTCCACCACACTCCGGGGCAGAGAGTTCCACTGCTGAATGGCTCTCACAGTCAGGAAGTTCTTCCTCATGTTCAGATGGAATCTCCTCTCTTGTAGTTTGAAGCCATTGTTCCGTGTCCTAGTCTCCAAGGAAGCAGAAAACAAGCTTGCTCCCTCCTCCCTGTGGCTTCCTCTCAGTTCAAATGTATCCTTCCTAGGGATAGATTTGTCTTACTTCCTGTTGTTTCACCGTTGACTCTTAACTATGAGTCGTTTGTAAGTCGACTCATAGAATCATTGAATCCTTAAGTTGGAAGAAACCTCATAGTCCATCCAGTCTGACCCGATTCTGCCAAGAAGCAGGAAAATCGCATTCAAAACACCCCCAACAGACGGCCATCCAACCTCTGCTTAAAAGCCTCCAAAGAAGGAGCTTCCACCACACTCTGGGGCAGAGAGTTCCACTGCTGAACAGCTCTCACAGTAAGGAATGTCCAAATGGGATCTCCTTTCCTGTCATTTGAAGACATTGTTCAATTGCATCCTAGTCTCCAGGGCAGCAGAAACCAAGCTTGCTCCCTCCTCCCTATGACTTCCCCTCACATATTTATACATGGCTATTCTGTCTCTTCTCAGATTTTTCTTTTTCAGGTTAAACATGGCTGGCTCTTTAAGCCGCTCCTCATAGGGCTTGATCATTTTCATCACCCTCCTCTGGACACATTCCAGCTTGTTTGCAACTTGGGGACTGCCTGGCAATGGAGACTCATATAATCGAGTTCAAAGCAGATAATCTGGAATCAGATATTGGGATATAGGGCAGTGTAGATCCAGCCTGACCTCTCCAAACATTTTGTGCAAATGTAGCTGGGGATTACAGCTTTTGCTCCATTTTTGCATGGAACTTGATGGAAAAACAATATTACAGTTCATTTGTGCAACCACTGAAACATTTGTGTCACTCAAATCATGAAGGAAACCATCAATCTAATGTAGAATCATAGATCATAGAATCATAGAGTTAGAAGAGACCCCATGGGCCATCCAGTCCAACCCCATTCTGCCAAGAAGCAGGAATATTGCATTCAAATCACCCCTGACAGATGGCCATCCAGCCTCTGTTTAAAAGCTTCCAAAGAAGGAGCCTCCACCACACTCCGGGGCAGAGAGTTCCACTGCTGAACAGCTCTCACAGTCAAGAATGTTCAGATGGAATCTCCTTTCTTGTAGTTTGAAGCCATTGCTCCATGTTCTAGTCTCCAAGGCAGCAGAAAACAACCTTGCTTCCTCCTCCCTATGACTTCCTCTCACATACATGGCTATCATGTCTCCTCTCAGCCTTCTCTTCTTCAGGCTAAACATGCTCAGCTCTTTAAGCTGCTCCTCATAGGGCTTGTTCTCCAGACCCTTGATCATTTGAATCGCCCTCCTCTGGACACATTCCAGCTTGTCAACATCTCCCTCCTCCCTGTGACTTCCTCTCACATATTTATACATGTGACACAGAGCATTCCTGCAAAAAATTTGGAATCGACTGGCATTCTTGGCCTTTGTTTAAAACAGTTGTTCCTTTTGGGTCATTTTGCACAGAAACAGATGTGGATGGCTGTCAATTTGTCCGCTCCAGCTTCTGTTTAAATTTAATTCAGCCCATAAACCATTGCTATCAATCCAGGCAGCGCAGGGCAAATTCCCTATAAAAACCGCTGTCCTTTTATGGGGCCTTGTTTTGTGTCTGCCTCCTTCTGCTGCAGACATTTTAAGCCAAATGTAAAAGCTTGTAAACACCCAGAGACAGATTTAAACAATTGAGCCAGAAATGAACGCTCCCCGGGACTTCTGACATTGCAGAATGGTTTGTTTGGTTTTTGCCAATTTTCCGAAGCATCTTTACATATAAAGAGGTCCCTGTGGTCCTTCGGCTGGCATTTGCCCCTTCCTCATTGCCTCTGCTCATAAAGATAATTTGATGCCTGCTTCACTTCTCTCAGGAGGCGCCTTCATCTCTGTCGAATGGGACGTTTAATGCTTGAATGGAAAGGTGTAAAATTCGCTTTTCCTGTAACAAATGTCACTGGGGTTTGCTAACTGCCTGACACCTCCAAGTCCCTTTTTTAAAAGGAACACCCCCCCCCCAAAAAAAAAAATCAGCATCTTTTGTATTTTGCTGTACTCAATAAAGTGCTAGCTTGTATTACTGATGCTTTTATGCCTCTTGTCATCTAACATTGCCAAAGACTATTTTTGTTTTAAAACCTTTTATTTATCTACTAGCTGTACCCACCACGAGTTGCTGTGGCCAACCTTCCCTCTTTCTCACCATCTTTCCCTCCTTCCCTCTTTCCTTCCTTCCTTCCCATCTTTCCTTCTCTTCTTCCTTCCTTCTCTCTTTCCTTCCTTCCCCCTTTTTCTTTCTCTTCTGCTGTCTCTCTTTTCTTCCTTCTCTCTTTCCTTCACTCCCTCTTTCTCTACATCTTTCCCCTTCCTTCGCTCCCTCTTTCCTTCCTTCTTTTCCTTTTTTTCTTTCCTTCTCTCCTTCCTTCCTTCTCTAGCTTTCCCTCCTTTCCCTTTTTTCTTTCCTTCCCTCTTTCTCTCCTTTCTTCCTTCTCTACCTCCTTCCTTCCTTCCTTCCTTCCTTCCTTCCTTCCTTCCTTCCTTCCTTCCTTCTTCCTTCTCTCTTTGCTTCCATGCTTCCTTCTCCCTTTCCTTCTTTCCCTCCCTCCCTCTTTCTTTTCTTTTCTTTCTTTCTTTCTTTTCTCCCCTTCCCTCCCTCTTTCTTCCGTTTTTTCTGTATTGTCATTTAGCTTTCCATCATTTAGATTTTTGGGGCTTTTTAAGTCTCTTCTGCTGCGTTTTGTTGTGTTTTTATGAGTGAAGGACATACATTGGGTTGTTAGGTGTCTTGTGTCCAAATTTGGTGGCAATTCCCCCAGTGGTTTTTGAGTTCTCTTAATCCCACAAACGAACATTACATTTTTATTTATATAGATTTAAAACTTTTAGATGCCGATCTTCTCTACCTCCATAAAGGAACTCAAACCGGCTTACAGCAAGGATTCAATGCAATAATACAGTCTGAAACATGATACAACAAAAGATTAAAATATACAGATAGAACAGTGGTTTTCAACCTGTGGGTCCCCAGGTGTTTTGGCCTACAGTTCCCAGAAATCCCAGCCAGTTGACCAGCTGTTAGGATTTCTGGGAGTTGAAAGCCAAAACATCTGGGGACCCACAGGTTGAGAACCACTGAGATAGAATAAAATACATATAAGCCAAATCGCCAAGATAAAATCATATCCAACTCAGTCCGCATGTGGTCGATAACTTAGTCTGTAGCCAGTCTCAGCTGTTATTCTGGGAATGCTTCATTCCATAGCCAGGATTTCACTAGTCTCCTGAAGGTCAGGAGGAAGGGGGCAGATCTGGTCTCAATTGGGAGAGAATTCCATAGTCAGGGGCCACCACAGAAAAGGCCCTGTCTCTCATTCCCACCAGACAATATTGCGAAAGTGGTGGGACCGAGAGTAGGGCCCTACAATGAATCCCTTACTTTAGCTGGCTGGCTGAAGCCTAAGGGAGTGGGCTTGGCGAAGCCACGGCGACCATCTTAGAAAAGGGAGCCAGGGAGAAGCCATTTTAGTTAGGTTTTCCTTGAGGTGGCGTGTTCAAGTCTTAGAGGGAAAATAAGGAGGCTAGGATTGGCTAGAAAGATGGGGGCAGAGCCTAAGTGGTCTAGAGGAAAAAGTGTCCTTTTAAAACAGAGGCTTGAAGTCCCAGTTAGTCAGTTGGAGTTGGAGTTTGGGCTTGGAGTTGGTAGAGAGCAGTTGGAGAGTTGGTGTTAGTTCAGATCGGGTTTGGGTTTAGAGAAGAAGATTGGGTTAGTCTTTTGTGAGATATTCAGAGTAGCTCTTTAGTAGATAGCTAGAATACTGTGGTAGAACAAGGCCCAGTTAGTGGACTGTTCAATTCCTAGGAAAGTCTAGTTCAGGGTATTTTTGGCTAGATTCCTAAGGGGAAGTTTTGGGAGTTACTTTCAGAGATTAATTTCCTGAAGTAATTTTCTGTGGTGGAACTTTGAAGCCTTGTAGATTTTACTCTAACGCAACCACAAGCTATTCATACCAGTATTTTCTTTTTTTTTTATAATATTTTTTTTCTTAAACCATTAAGCATTTGTATCTGAATTATTTCAAGCTTGTTCAATAAACATTCTTGCTCTTTTATTAACTTATACCAGCCTCAGTGTGAGTACCTTTGTGATCAAAGTATTTCTAAAGTCAGCTTCACAGCAGACACTAAGAAACTATAGTGGAACAGTGTGTGTTACAAAACAAACTCACAATATTACCTCAGCCTGATTAATACTGGAATGGTGGCAGCGGAATTCATTTGAAGAAACATTTTAAGTCTCTCCGTTCTAGTGTTTCCCAGTTCCTACTTTTTAAAATACTAAGTGTCTCTCCCCTTCTCTTCTCAAATCTTCTCTGATATTGGTATAATCAGTGGGATATATTTCAACAATTAAAATAAAGAGAAATTTAAATATACAGCTGTTTCAACAACCATTCTCCCTCTTCCTTTTGACGGCTTCATATTTTTGGTGAATAGCACGTTCATATTTTAGGAGGTGCCTGTCATTATAGGCCCCTTTGAATATATAATTCATTGATATTTTGGATGGCCCTTGGGATCCCCTCCAACGCTAAGATTTCATGCTGCTAAGCTACCCCAGAAGAGGATGGAAGCCTACCTCAACCTCCCCGCAGTCACACTCTTCGCCATCCTCCAGGAATCCATTGCCGCACTTCTTGCCCACCACTAGATCCTTGGTGTCTGGCAGGTTGAAGAGGCACATGCCGCCTCCCTTCTGGAAATAGCTCTCCAGTTGCCCCCGGCTGCAGGAGCTAAACACTTTGGGGAAGGGGTAGCTGGGGAAGGAGGCAAAACACACACATTATTATTATTATTATTATTATTATTATTATTATTATTACTACTACTATTTGAAATACAACAAGATGAGTCCACAGCAGACAAGGCCACTCTGCTGGCTGTTGTATTGGATCACATGCCGGACACTTCACAAGTGTCTAGGACTGTGTGATGTATCGGCGAATAATGCGTGCAGATCCCATTAAGGTGGCCTTCTGCAGCTGGCAGACGGTAATTTTGTCAGCACCGATTGTGTTTAAGTCCAGGCCAAGGTCTTTAGGCACTGCACCCAGTGTGCCAATCACCACTGGGACCACATTGACTGGCTTGTGGCTGAGCCTTTGCAGTTTGATCTTTAAATCCTCATATCGTGACAGCTTTCCCTGTTGTTTCTCTGCAATCCTGCTGTCACCTGGGATTGCAACATCAACGGTTCATACTTTGTTTTTTAACACGATCGTGAGGTCAGGAGTATTGTGCTCCAAAACTCTGTCTGTCTGAATTATTATTATTATTATTATTATTATTATTATTATTATTATTATTATTTTACTGACACAAAAGCACAGTATGTCGCAGCAAATGAGATCTATAGGCTGAATTTCGTATCACAAAATCACAAGTCGAACCCTTCCCAAGCGTCTAGGACTGTGTGATGTATTTTCGAATGATGCACGCAGATCCAAGTAAGGTGGCCTTTTGCAGTTGACAGTGTCAATGTTTAAACTGTTTCCAAATGCCCACTATTTCCAAATGCTTCACTGTCAACAGAACCTTTGAGGATGCCTGCCACAGATGCAGGTGAAACATGAGGAGAGAATGCTGCTGCAACATGGCCATGCCACCTGAAAAACTCACAGCAACCCAAAAATGTTTTTATTTATTGCTTGAAGTTAATTTTTACTGTAAACCACCCAGCGATCTTTCGACAACGAAAAATGAATGCCTTAATAAATAAACAATAAGGTCACATATATAAACACACACACAAATTAGCACCCTACCTGCTCTCATTTTGTAAAATATAATTTAATGGGAGACCAAACCACACACTTCAATGGGTGGCCCAATTACTTCATAACAAACAAGCCACCCATGGGTTTAATTCATTATACAAGAGTGGAAATAGCAGAGAGTGAGGCAGGCTTTTTACGTAAAAGGTCAGTATATTAATTGGTATGGAAATAGTTTTGACGAATAATTAAGAGCCAATTTAAGCGTTTACTTATAAACGGGGTTTGAAGAAAGCTATCCAGTCTTCCCCCTCTTTGGAAGTTCAGCAAAGTTTACTTTGAAAGTAAATCTAATGCAAAGTAACATTGATGTATTGTTTTCGACTGAAGAAGCTGGGCATCGTACTCAGGAATGTGCTGCACCCAAAGCATGTGCCATGTGCTTACACTTAAATGATGGTGGGACACATAAACACACATAATCTGATTTATGTACACATAGTCTGCCTTTGCCTCATCCAGCAAAGTGGCATACTTTACGATGAATTCCTCAGGATATTTTGCTTCCATACACTGTATACAACTGCATGGTCCATCTCACAGAATTGTAATTGGAAGAGACCCCAAAAGGCAGGTAGCCCAGCCCCTTTCAACTATGCAAGAATACAAAATGCAAGCACTCCCGACAGATGGCCATCCAACCTGTGTTTAAAGGCCTCCAATAACAGAGTTATTATAATAACATAATAACAGAGTTATTATGTTTTGCTGGCATCTCTTTTCAATCCATTGGTCCCCTTTCATATTTGGCTTTCTCCAAAATAATGGAGGAAGCAATTGATCCAGTAATTGAGCCACTGGTCCAAATGAACCACTGATCTATGACTGAAGCCTCATCTACACTGCTATATAATGCAGTGCCTTTCACCTTAAGAACAGACAAGCATCCCGAGCTCTGAGTATTACCTGGGAAGGGATCCCACTGGAGCATTGCAGCACACCCAAATACCTGGGAGTCACTCTGGACCGTGCTCTGACCTACAAGAAGCACTGCCTGAACATCAAGCAAAAAGTGGGCGCTAGAAACAATATCATGCGAAAGCTGACTGGCACAACCTGGGGATCACAACCAGATACAGTGAAGACATCTGCCCTTGCGCTATGCTACATTATATATGCTACATTATATATGCTACATTATTGCGCTATGCTTTCATAAACAACATCAAGAAGATGGAAGAAGATCTTTCAACAACATAGAAAGTGTTATTTTGTACCATTGTGCCGGATATTGTTTAACTGTTGTTTTGGAAGCTCTAAGCTCATTGTATTGACGAAATATTGATAAACCATGTGTCATTGTTTTTGATGTTGTTTATGAAAGAAGATCTTTCGATAATATAGGAAGTGTTATTTTGTGTCACTGTGCCTGACATAATGTAATTGTGATTTTGGAAGCTCTAGTTTTACTATGTTAACAAAGTATTGAAAAATTATCTTCCAATTATAAACAGTCTTTAATTAATCGTGTGAATGTTCTCATGTTACATTCAATGTAGAAATTCTTAGAATATAGAAATTGTGTTTGCAATCTACAGTTTTTGTAATTGTTGTTATAGATATCTGTGCATGTTACAAAAAAAGTATCAGCCAGCATGTCAACAACTTAAATCTAGAAATAGTTTTCTAAGATCTACAGAGACACTTGCTGGAACACCTCAGCAAGCGAGAGTCCAAAAGTGGCAGGCTCAAACCCAGAACCTCAACCAATGGCTGATACCAAATGAGAGACTCCCCCCTGGGCACACAGAAGGCTTGGAAGGCACTGAACAGACTGCGCTCTGGCACCACGAGATGCAGAGCCAACCTTAGGAAATGGGTCCACAAAGTGGAATCCACGACACGTGAGTGTGGAGGAGAGCAAACCACTGACCACCTGCTGCAATGCAACCTGAGCCCTGCCACATGCACAATGGAGGACCTTCTTGCGGCAACACCAGAGGCACTCCAAGTGGCCAGATACTGGTCAAAGGACATTTAATCAACTACCAAGTTTGCAAACTTTGTGTTTTTTATCTGTTTGTTTGTTTTGTTCTGTTAGAAATGTAATACAATGGTCTGGTTGCCCCTGACATGATAAATAAATAGAATGCTGTTCATGCAGTTCAATGTAGCTAAATTGTATTCTGAGACTCAATATTATGGCAGTGTAGATGGGGCCAAAGTCACTGGCTGAGCTGAACAACTGAGTCACTAATTCAACTGCACAACTGTGCCACAGATTCAACTGCATAACTGTCCCAATGATCCAACTGCACAGCTGAGTCACTGATCCAATTGCATCAATAAACACTTGCAACTGCATCAATGTGATACTGATCCAACTACACAACTGTGCAACAGATCCAGCTGCATAAGTGCTCCAACTGTGTAACTGAGTCACTGATCCAACTGCATAAACCTGGTTCTGATCCAACTGCATCAATGTGATACTGAGCCAAATGCACAATTAAGTTACTGATCCAACGGCATCAATGAACTCCTGATCCAACTGCATAAATGTGCCACAGATCCAACCGCATAACTGTCCCAAGTGTATAACTGGGTTACAGATCCAAATGCATCGATGTGATACTGATCCAGCTACACAACTGAGCCACTAATCCAACTGCTTCAATGTGATACTGATCCAACTGCACAACTGTGCCACTAATCCAACTGCATCAACGTGATACTGATCCAACTGCACAACTAAGCCACTGATTCGATATAAAGGAGCCGCTGATTCAACCTGAACTACTGATCCAACTGCCTAACTGAAGCCAATGATCCAACTGCTGATGTTGGCAACACAAATTCAGCTCTGAGGTCACAGACTTACATACATTTATACACATGCATATATTTTTCGGGGTAATGTTTTCTAGCTGGGGCTAAAAAACCCTGTTCCTTACAGACTTGTGTCAATGTGCTTAACAGATGCAAAACATTGGCTTCTCACTCAGCACATGCCTTGATTTTAAGAGCATGCTGCAAATGGCACTCTTCTGATCCAGTCCGCATTTGGCCCGCCTCTTCTTTCCCCTGCCTTTCTCCTAACAGCTTCTCCCTGCTACTGTACAGCTGCCTGTAACCCGTCTCCTTTACAATTTAAAGAAATGTGGCTTTAATTTACGCCGGCTGATGTTCCTCTGCACATTACATGGACCGGAAAGGACGGGTGTGGAGGGAAGGAGAGAGAGAGAGAATTCCCACCCTCCAAACACAGAGAAAAAGTCCAGAAATCGCCCAGATGTATCCGCTTAGAGACAAAAGCAATGCTATGTCTGGGTCTGTATTACAACATTTTCAAGTTAAGTTCCATTAAGTTCAGAAGGACTTTAATGCATCTCTAAGAGCATGAGCAGGCAACTGTGAGAAACTGTGGAGGACATTAGCAGACCTTTGGTGGGTACATCCTGCAAATAAAAATCCAATAAAAAATCCAAAAAACATATATCCTAATGTTCTCTAGGAACTTCAAGGACATTTTTATCCCCCTTGGGCTATTTCAAGTCCAGGAAAGACCTTCATTTCAGAGTTGGAAGTGACCACAAGTCACTTCCATTTACTTCTACAGATTGCCCTCCACATATGCACAGTTTTGACTTTTGTGGATTTGATTATTTGTGGATTTGATTAAAGATGTTATTTCTAGAAATCTTTAAGGACCTCCGTCTATTCTTGTCAAAAGCTGACCATAAAGTAACACTGGAAGGCCTAGAGGTTCACAGAGAGAATGCTTCTTTTGGTATTTATAGGTCTTCCAACTTCTGCTGGAATTGGACATAAAATTGCACTGGAGTGAATAGCAAGTGATTTTTGCTTTGGGGTCCATGAGAGGCCCTTTTTGAAAAGAAGGACATGAATCTCCTGAACCTAAAATTGCCATTTTAGGTTGAACCTCCCCACACATATCTCTCAAATGTTTCAGGGCATTTGAAGTAAAAACGTAGGCTATTAATGTTGCACCTCAGAGTAGAATCACCTTGCTGAAAAACACCAAACTGTACAAACTGTACAGTCTTTATGGTTTATTAAAAGTAAAAGGTACAAAATTCTTAAAAGCAAAGGTAATGTTTCAAAAGATCAGGATAATATAGCACTTGAAGCATAATCCCATAGGCATCAGCAAAGCAAGACCCAAAAGAACATGACAAAGTCCTGGAACCATGAACACAAAAGACTGCAAGGTAAATCCAGCCTAGTTTAGGCAAACTTCTTAGGTAAACGCGAAAGTTGCTTTGACAAGATCTGGTCTCAACCCCCCTGTTTAATATCCTTTGCAAAACATGAATACGTTTCTTTGGCCTCTGGCCTCCCTCTTGTTAGCTATCCTTTCACTCCTTCGAACACGGAATTCCAACCAGGCGGCCCTATCTAATGTTCCCGTATCATCAAGGTCAATCTGTTAACTGGTGCTCCTTACAGAGAGAGGTCAACCCTCCTGTTCAAGGAGCTCCATTGGCTGCTGTTCATTTTCCGGTCCCAATTCAAGGTGCAGGTGCTTACCTACAAAGCCCTAAACGGTTTGGGACCCACCTACCTGCGTGACCGCATCTCCGTATATGAACCCACATGATCTCTCCATTCATCTGGAGAGGCCCTGCTCACGATCCCACCTGCATCGCAAGCACTATTGGTGGGAACGAGGGACAGGGCCTTCTCGGTGGTGGCCCCACGACTCTGGAACTCCCTCCCCAAGGACATCAGGCACTCCCCAACACTGGCAGTCTTCAGAAGGAGCTTGAAAACATGGATGTTCCAGTGTGCCTTCCCAGATTAAGGAATCCCAAGCAATTGTCCCTAATGCACTTTATGAGAGAGTTAGAATTGTCTGCACACCCTTCTATTCCCAAAATATCCATTCTACCTCACCTGGACATGCCCAGCATTTTTAGAATTTTAACTATTACATTTGGCCCTGCCACAGGTTTTTAACAGTGTCGTGCTTTTGTTACTGTTTTATTGTTTGCTTATTTATTGTTGCATTGTATTGCTGTCTGCTGTGTTTTTGTTAATGATGTACTTTGGGCTCGGCCTCTTGTAAGCCGCACCGAGTCCTGCGGAAGATGGTAGCGGGGTACAAATAAAGGATGATGATGATGATGATGATGATTATTATTATTATTATTATTATTATTATTATCTGCTTGTTAGCTATAGCCTGTTTTCCTGCTTGCTCATTATCAGGCTGAGAACCAGGCAAAGAGCTATCTTCTCTTTCGGAGTCAATCTGCACCTGGCTGCTATCTTCAGTATCAACACTCTCATGCCTTGCTGTGGGAAACTGCACTTCTTCTTCACTGTCTATAGCAGGGACATCTTGAACCAAACTGTGAACCTGAGTCCCATCATCCTTGTCAGAAACGCTCTCTGATTCCAGCTGTGTCACAACACTTAACTCAAATCTAGTGCTCACCCTTTCTGACTAAATGACTTTGTCAAGATTAGGATGTGCAAGAGATTCATGTCACACAGTAATCTTAGTGATGAGCCAAAGCAAAAGGGGAAGCTGCTTCAGAAGGTGCGTCTGGAGCTCCTCTGTGAGGGACATCATCTCTAATTTAATGGCCATGGCTCAATGCTATGACATCCTAGGATTTGTTTGTTGAGGCATTATCATTATTATTATTATTACTATTATTATTAAACTTTATTTGTACCCCACTACCATCTCCCCAAGGGACTTGGTGTGGCTTACATGACGCTGAGCCCACAATACAACAATAAAGCAATAGCAACAGTAATACAACAATAAATAAATTCATAAACAGAAAATAGCAATAAACATTAACAATAACACGACATTTAAAAACCTATGGCAGGACCAGATGTACTAATTAAAAATTTTTAAAAAATAATGCTGGGCATGACCAGGTGACATATAAACAAGATAGAAATTTTGGAGAGGGATAGGGCATGCAGACAATCCTAAATCACGCCTAAAGTGCGTTAAGGGACATATTGCTGGGAGTTTCCTTAATCTGGGAAGGCACATTGGAACAACCACATTTTCAGGCTCCTCTTAAAGGCTGCCAATGTTGGAGCATGTCTGACGTCCCTGGGGAGTGAGTTCCAGAGTCGAGGGGCCACCACCGAGAAGGCCCTGTCCCTCGTCCCCGCCAATTGCGCTTGCGATGGAGGCGGGAGCGCGAGCAGGGCCTCTCCAGATGATCGAAGAGATCGCGTGGCTTCGTATACAGTGATGCGTTCATGCAGGTATGTGGGTCCCAAACTGTTTAGGGCTCTGTAGGTAAGCACCTGCACCTTGAATTGGGACCAGAAAATGAACGGCAGCCAATGGAGCTCCTTAAACATCTGTATTCTTTGGCAGAGAAAGCTCAAAGATTTGTAAAACTACAGTCCCAAGGACTCCATAGCATCGAACGAAGGCAATTAAAGTGGATTCATTCATTCATTCTACAGAATAGAAACACTACAAGGTTTTCCTTTCCATCACTGGAAGCTTTGGTGTTCTAATCAGGCAGCAGCTGTAGTGGCCAAATGACAAAGTGCCCTTTTTGCCACTATGCCTTAAATTCAGCAGCAAATACTTTTTTTGGTGTCAGGGTTTTGAAAACTGAGGTGCACATTGGGTTCAATGATGCATTTCGGCTCAAGTCAATATGGTAGTTTGCCATAGGGGAACTGATGCATCACTTTCTAGCCCCTCTACCACAACGGATCATCATGATTTAGGTGATGAGGTCTCCAACTTGGTACCCTCCACCTCCTGTCAAAGTAATACAAATGGAAAGGTCTTTTTCTAGATCTGGATGATTGTCTACATCTATTATGAAGAGCTTTTGATTGGATCATTGTAACAAGGTCCTGAGATATTCCCAACGTGCTCCCAAGACAGCCAAAAGCTACACACCCGTCTTACCCTGTTGCAGCGGCCATGACGCAGCCTCCTTGGGATGCTGTAGCTTCAACGCAACAGCCCTCTATGTCGTGGCTCATGCCAAAGTTGTGGCCGATTTCGTGGGCCATGGTGGCAGCAGCGCCAATGGGCAGCTCCGAATGATCCTGGGATATAGAATGAGAAGGGAATCAAGGAAAAACATGTTGTATCAAAGACAAGGTTTACACCAAAATTCAAAGAATATAATTTCTGGAAGTCAAGACTGGGACAGGTCTTAGCTCCAAACACTTATTTAGATAAGCCCTGTTTATCCAGTTTTGGTATCATGTGTTCAAATATCAGTGTTGCTGGGACCATCAGAAAGTTCTTCCTAATGTTTCAGCGAAATCTCATATCCTGTAGTTTGAATATTTGCTGTCTGGAATTCCTATGTTCTTTATCTACTGTCTTGATCCTGGTGACAAAATTTTGGCAACGTGTTTCTTACCATGCTGACGCCACCAGAATTTTCCCCACTGCACATGCCCTCCAGCGGCGCCATCCCAATCGTCGTCCCCCTGAATGGCACACCTCTATGGAAATATGCAAGAAAAATAAAAATGATAGCACGATTAGTGTCCTCTTTGGGTTCGAATCGTATTTCGGCCAAATCTAAAGTAGACTGGAAATGCTGAAATAACTATGGAATTCACTGCCACCAGATATTGCAACAAATTCAAAGACAGAGAATTATTCTCCCTCATTAAGCCATCCTAATTTGCTTTTTTGGCAGTCAAAGTCATAAAATCAGAGATGGAAGGGACCCTAAGGGCCATCCAGTCCAGCCCCATTCTGCCATATAGAAAGACACAACCAAAGCCACCCTGGCAGATGGCCATCCAACCTCTGGCAAAAAAAATAAAGCCCCAGAGAAGGAGACTTCACCAGTCACACACAGTTGTTTATCCTATCAGGAGATGAAATCTAAAAATCCAAGTTGCTGATCACTCTCATATGAGTGGAGAAAGAAATCCACTCAGAGCTTTAGTCTGATACTTGAGCTTTCAGAAGTGCTGAGCTCTAATCCCCTTGGAGAACTCCTTCAAAATAAGGAGTATAACTCACAGAAGGTTCCCCAATCCACTGTCCTTCTCATCACTTCCTGCTTGAACATTTATAAATGGAGGCACTATGTTGTGACTCAGCTTGACTCTGAGTCTGAAGCTGAGTTCTGTGGGCCTTCTGAGCCAGAATTCCTACAGGATGATGAGGAGGAGGATGGGTTACAGATTTCTGTACATGCTTCAGACAGGGCTGACGGTGGGGCTGCGGAAGGAGAATCAGCAAATAAGTTCTCAGGGGAAAGGAATGTTAGTGAGACTGATAACGAGAGTGAATTCCCACACGGCCAGGTGGAGACGTCTTTTCCTCCCCACAGTGATCCAGTCCAGCTGGACCAAGATAAGGGGTTACATAGCCTTGAAGATAATGAATTAATGAGCAGGCAAGATCATCTGCAATTAAGGCTCCGGAGAAGCACTCACTTGGCTAGCAGGCGAGAAGCCAAGGGTGCCAAAGGTCAACGCAATGCGTTCATGTCTGCAAAGGGTATTTAGCCTTGTAGCTGACAAGCAGGGGCTGTCAGTCCAACGTAGCTCTTCTCATGCAAACTTCTGTGGATTAACTTTGGCTTTTAGCAGCACGCTTCTGGCTTCCTGAGTCTGGGATTTGGGCCTTGTTTTCAACTGTTTTCCATGGACTCTTGTTTGACCATTGCTAAAGGATTATGCTTCATGTTTTTGCCTTTGGATCTTGGGAACTTTGTCTTTGCATTTAAGCCTTTTTCCTGCCTATGAAACTTTTGCATTTTTTATAGTTTGTTTTGATTTTGCCTTTTTCTGAATGAACTACAAAACCTACAGCTTTGGTATGGTGGTGTCTGGAGCAAGGTGAAAGCTATCCTGAGTTGCAACACACTATAGACTTCTCTAATTATGCCCTTTTCTTTGCCTTGCTCTGCTTCCAGTTCAGAAATAATGGCAAGGGCTGAAGGAAGCAGCAGGAATGCTAGAAACAAGAGCAAATGGTGAGACATTCTGGTGCAGGCGGCTGCCTTGGTGACCTGTCGGGCAAACTCACGTCAGGAGCTGGGCATTGTCATGCTTCTTCCGGGACTTCAAAGACTTCTTCCACTGCAGGAAGGAGAGGAGGGTGGCATGGGCATCGTTGCTGACCGTGCAGTGGTCTCGCTCCGTCCACACCTCCAGGCCGATCAGCGCCACCTTGATGTTCAGGGACCTGTAAAACTGGAGAAAAGAATCAAGAATGGAGGGAAGAAGGAAGGAAGGGTGGAGGAATAAGAAGAAAGGAAAAAAGGGGGAGGTGAAGGAAAAGAGGAGGAGGAACAAGAGAAGAAGAAGAAGGATAAGAAGAGGAGGAGGAAAGGAAGCAAGATGACAATGAGGAAATGGAGGGAGAAATAGAAAAGGAAAAGAAGATTGAGACTAGAAGAAAATGAGAGAGATGTAGTGGAGTGGAAGAAAAAGAGGAGGAAGAAGAGGAGGGGGAATGGAAGTGGAAGGGAGAGTAAGGAGATGAGGAGGAGGAGGAGGAGGAGGAGGAGGAGGAGGAGAGAAAGGAAGAGAGAGGGGAAGAAAGAAGGAAGGAAGGAAAGAAAAGGGAAGAAAGAAGGAGAGGAAGGAGAGGAAGAAGAAAGGAAGGAGAGGAAGGAAAGAAGACAAGAAAGGAGAGAAAGAAGTTGAGGAAGAGGAAGAAAGGAAGGAAGGAGAAGAAGAGGAGGAGGAAGGGGAAGAAGAGAAAGAAGAAGAGAAGAAGAAAAGAAGGAGGAGGAAGAAAACAAGGAAGAAGAGAAAGGCGTTGAGGAAGAAGAAGAAAGGGAGAAGGAGGAGGAAGAAGAAGAAAAGGAAGAAAAAGAGGAAGAAGGAAAAGGGAGGAGGAAGAAGAAAAGGAAGGAGGAAGAAAAGGAAAGAGGAAGAGAGGTAGAAGGTGTAGACAGGCGTAGAGGAGAAGAAAGAGGAGAAAAGAGGATTAGAAGGGGAGGAAAAGATGAGAAGAGAAAGAGAAGGAGAAAGAAAAAGGGAAGGAGGGAAAGAGAAGAAAGAAGGGAAGAATAAGAAGAGAAAGGAGAGGGAGAGGATGAGATCAGAAAAAGAGAAAGGACCTGAGAAGAAAAGAGGAGGGGATTGGAAGAGGAGGAGGAGGAGGATTACCTTGTCTACATAATTGGCGATCTCCAGTATCCGTTGCTTTGTGCGACCCAAGTTTTGCTTTTGAGCTGTAAACTTTTTAGGGAGAAAGGGGGAAAGAACAAGAAAAGAGGAAAAGAAGACAAAACAAGAAACACGGTTAGTGATGTATCTCAATCCCGAAAGGAAGTGTTTTGTTTCTCTTTTTAAAGGCATAGGCGTGTTAGGCTGGAATTTCAGTTCACAAAATGATCTGGTAGCTCCTGGAAGTATATACTACAATGCACAATTCTTTGGCCAAGGTAACAATACCCCCCCCCTCTCTATACATATATGTATATGTATATGTATATGTATATGTATATGTATATGTATATGTATATGTATATGTTCGTTTGTGGGATAACATAACTCAATAAGCACTGGGTGAATTGACACGAAATTTGGACACAAGACACTGATCAAGCCAACGAGTGACCATCACTCATAAAAACACAGAAAAATACAGCAGAAGAGACTTTAAAAGCCAAAAAACGGGGAAAAATACATTACAATGCATGAGCAAAACCACATGTATATACAAATATATACAGAAATATATACACACATATATATGCACACACAAAACACATACACAGAAAGGGGAAAGGAGGGAGAGAAAGAAGGGGAGAAGGAAAGAAAGGTAGAGAAGGAAGGAGAGAATGAAATTAAAAAAGTGAAAAAGGGGAGGAAGGAGAGAAGGAACGAAAGAGAGAAAGAGGGAAGGAGGGAAGGAAGGAAAGAGACAAGGAAGGATGGTAGGTAGGTAAATTGATCAGGAGGATAGCTGGGAGCTGCAGTCCAGGAATAGATAAAGAAGGAAGAAAGAGGAGAAAGAGGAAGGGAAAGAAAAGGGGAGAAGGAAGGGAAGAGGAAGATAAGGAAGGAAGGAGAGAAGGAAAGAAAAAAAGGGAAGGAGAGAAAGAAAGAAAGAAAGAAAGAAAGAAAGAAAGAAAGAAAGAAAGAAAGAAAGAGGGAGGGAAAGTTGGCCACAGCAACACATGGCGGGTACAGCTAGTGTTTTATATGTTTCAATATGTGTATCCTATGGAGTGTTTTTAAATGATTATGTGTTTTGATTATATGTTAACCCTCCTCGAGCTGAGAGGAGAGGCGGGTAAGAAATAAAATTATTACTGTTAGATTATTACTATTATTATCATTATGTGTCATCTACGAATTTCATAGGGAGTTCTTAGGCAAGAAAGAGTCGAAAGATGGTTTGGCCAGTTCCTGCCTCTGAAATAGAGCTTCTAGCACCTCTGATTCATTGGTGGTCTCCCATTCGAGTCCTAACCAGGGTTGGCCCTGCTTAGCTTAGTCGTCTCAGGAAATTCCCCAACCAAACAGACATAAGTTAAACCATGAATTTCTTAGTATTTTCTTAGGACAGGAATCTTCAGAGGTGGTTTTTCCCATTCCTCCCTTTGAAATACAACCAACTGCTAGTATTTGGCCTCCCATCCAAATGCTAGCCGACTTTGACCCTGCTTAGCTGAGAAGATGAGACAGGATCTGGTGCCTTCAAGATCAGGGAAAGTTTAGTCCAATTTTTGAGTAGTCGTCAATTTGGACAATTCTTTTTGTTGCCTTGGGAAGACAAAAGGATATGAGACGCACGGGTCTTTCTAGTTTCCAAACAGCTTTCCCTTTTTAGAGAAGGCAGACATAGCAGTGACGGGCCACCCGGCGAGCCCCAGACAAGCAAAACAAATATCCTAATAACAGAGCCCGAGGTCACCCCCTGAAACGCCTTGGCAGGAAATTCGAGGAGGAGAAAAGGAGGTCATTCACATCCGCACCTCATCCGTCGGCGGAATTTGCGGTCACCGCATATTGTGGCGGCCACCAACTTAGATGGCTTTGAAAGGGGATTAGATCCATCCGAGGAGAAGGAGGCGACCAACAATGGCAATGAACTTGAGGTCAACAGGAAAAGCCCAATGAGTTAAGTCTTACTAGTATGTGATGCTGGACGGATGGGAACGAGTCTCATTCCCACCTCAGAAGAACTCAGCTGGACCAGAACAAAGCCTTCCCTAATTGACTATGGGTTTCCCATACAGCCAAGCCTTTGGGGAATATATCAGCAGAATATACGTAGATGCAATTGCGTTCTGCATCTCCTATTTCTCAGCAATTGATACATACAGATATACAATCTCTGGTTCTAACATAAAGCCGAGAGCCAGTGTAACACAGTGGTTTTGAACGCTAGACTACAATTCTAGAAAACATCCCTACTCCGTCATTAAAACCTATTGGATCACCTTGGGTGAACTGTGCACTCTCAGCCCCAGAAAAACACACAAAACATTCACTTTAAGGCAGGCATGGCAAACTGGTAAGCTGTTAGGAACTGTGGGAATTGAAGTCCAAAACACCTGGAGGGCCCAAGTTTGCCCATGCCTGCTCTAGAGTCTCCTAAATCAGAAACAGCTTGAAGGGACACAACAACAAAGAGGCAAGTTCATTAGATAGATAATGCATTCTTAGACAGGAACGCACTGATGTGTTGTTGAAGGAATTCATTGACTGTAATCCTATTGTGTAAAACTAGTGGAAAATTACTTACTTAGACAATCCCTTGTAGTTCGAGGATGATGGTCCTACAAGTGTAGTATCCTGGGGGTGGGTCTGTAGGTGACTATGGAGCCCTATTATTGATCTGCATCGGTTTCCAGGTGGAAGGCGGTCCTGGTCGGGGTTGGCTTGACGTGCCTTCCTCTTGGCATGTTTCTTTCTTTTGCCCTCCATTCATGCCTCTTCAAATTCTACAGCACTGCTGGTCACAGCTGACCTCCAGGTGGAGCGCTCAAGGGCCAGGGCTCCCCAGTTCTCAGTGTCAATGCCAGAGTTTTTAAGGTTGGCTTTGAGCCCATCTTTAAATCTCTTTTCCTGCCCTCCAACATTCCTTTTCCGTTCTTGATTTCGGAATAGAGCAACTGCTTTGGGAGACAGTGGTCGGGTATCTGGACAACGTGGCCAGTCCAGCGGAGGACCATCGCTTCAATGCTGGTGGTCTTTGCTTCTCTCAGCACACTGACATTTGTCCACTTGTCTTCCCAAGAGATTTGCAGGATTTTTCAAAGGCAGAGCTGATGGAATCATTCTAAGAGTTGCATGTGACGTCTGTAGACAGTCCACATCTCGCAGGCATAGAGCAGGGTTGGGAGGACACTAGCTTTATAAACAAGCACTTTGGTATCCCTACTAATGTCCCAGTCCTCAAACACTCTCTGCTTCATTGGGAAAAATGCTGCACTCGCAGAGCTCAGGTGGTGTCGAATTTCAGTGTCAATGTTGACTTTTGTGGAGAGGTGGCTACCAAGGTAGTAGAAATTGTCAACATTGTCTAATGTTACACCATTAAGCTGTATCTCTGGCATTGGGAAGGGATTGGTTGGTGACTGCTGGAAGAGGACTTTGGTTTTCTCGATGTTCAATGACAGGCCAAGCTTCTCGTATGCTTCTGCAAAGGTGTTTAGAGTGGTTTGTAGGTCTTCTTCTGAATGCGCACAGATGACATTGTCATCAGCATACTGGAGTTCTATAATAGATGTTGTTGTAGCCTTGGTTTTGGGTTTCAGTCTGCTGAGGTTAAACAGCTTGCCAGCTGTCAGCTAGATGATTTCCACTCCGGTGGGAAGCTTCCCATCAACAAGATGAAGTATCATAGCAATGAATGGGAAAATAAGGTTGGGGCAATTACATATCCCTGTTTGAACCTGATTCCACCTTAAATGGATCACTTAGTGAAAATACAGTTCGAATGGACATGTGGTCACACACCTGCTGAAGGATTAAGTGGGTGATGATGTGTAACTTGAGGGCAGTCATGATTAGGATTGCATCATTCACTTTTATCCCTGGCTGATGACGAGCAAACAGTGGATATAAAACAGCGAGAAGCACAAGGTCAGACGGTGCAGTTACACTCTGCTAACAACTGATTAGCACTCTGTTGTGTGTGTGTGTGTTTATTTTGTCTTGACATTCAGTCCAGTACCCAGCATATCTACGGAGGGTGTGATTTTGAAAACTATAAATCACACACCTATCCTGCTTCAACATTACTGCAATTACTACTACTAATAATAATAATAACAACAACAACAACAGCAATAATGGTGATGATGCATAGTCTATGCTAAAAAAAAATCTAGTGTAGGGCCTTAGCTCCGTCCTGATAAGACGCAGGCTGTTCTGAAACTAGATTTGAGGTCTCAGTAAGACTTTCACCAAAGCTCCCCATAAAAGACCCTTCCTAGCTAAAGGGGAAAGGGATGAAATTCTCACCAAGGAATAATCCGCAACAATGAAGAGCTCCATGTACTTCAAGGTCCTCCAGACGTCCCTCCTTTTCTGCAAAACAAATTACTTTAACAAAGGGATTATGGGGAGCAATGACGCACACACCATCTTTGTCAGCCCCCCTCTCCTAAACTCTCACATCCTCTGACCCCTAAAGCTTTAGCTTTAAAGACATCTAACTCCAATATCTCCCTTTAAATCACTTGATTTGCAGTTAAAATAATTCCTGGAGGTAATTTTAAGCTGATTTTTTGACTGAAAATGAGTGTGCAGTCAAAAGCTGATCCCTGATGCAAAGACCCAAAACTGTGTTAGCATCGATCCACTTATTTACTTATAGATCTGCTTTATTTTTTATCCCACCTTTCTCCCTATTTAGGGACTCAAGGCGGCTAACAGCAAACATGACACCACACAATAATAATAATAATAATAATAATAATAATAATAATAATAATGATAATCTTTATTTGTACCCCGCTACCATCTCCCCAAGGGACTCGGTGCAGCTTACATGAGGCCAAGCCCACAATACATCAATAAACAAAACATCAATAAAACACTCAATAAAATACAAATCATATAAATCACATAAACAAAAACAAGCAATAAACAATCAAAAGTGACATATAAACATTTAAAACCAATGGCCAGACCAAATGTAATAGGTTCAAATTAAAATATGCTGATGTGAACAAGGTAGGATATAACTGGGATAGGATTTTCAGAAATGAGGGAATGCTGTCAATCCTAAATCTGTAGTAAAGAGCATTTTGAGGGTATATTGCTGAGTGTCTTCCTTATTCTGGGAAATGCATTCAAATATGGATATCAAAATTTAAAAACTTGATTAAATCTCTGTATAATGGATCACAAAAATATGAAAACACATTTAAAACAATTCTTATAAATTATTGCCAGGTTTTACAATGTATTGTAATGTAATATAGCTGAGTCATGCACTGCTAATGGGCTTCTATTGGAAATGCTGAGTCATGCATTAACTGTATATAGAACTTCACTTGGGGAATGTGTTCTGGCCTAGTCCAGGTGATTGTGAATGATGTAATCCTGGGTCTGGGTTAAGTCAATGAGTTGGGAACCAATCGGAGATTGCTATGTGTAATTGTATATAATTGTATATAAGGAAGTCATGTACAGTGTATATTGCTCTCTCCTTGTGCTGTGATGTTGTTCGTCGAAGGCTATATGTAATTAAAAGAACCTGTCTGCTAAGACAAGATATAACTGTATGCTGTGGTAAGTTTGTAATGTCATCTAGACTGGGGAAAACAATAGTAAAACTGACAATGGCTGGGCATGTGCTCAAGTGTATGGAAAAGGTTCCAGCGTGGCTACAGGCTGTGGGAGCAGATGACTATAAATACTGTGCAGGAAGAGGCTACTGGAAAGCGCTGAAGTTGTGCAACTGATCTGCTGCTGAATTGTGAAGT